CGACAATTATCGCTTAACGCTACTAATAAGAATGCGAGTTTACCTAGTATTCCATATCTCGTTACTTGAACCAACGCTAAATCCAGAAAACGCCAAAGATGAAGCGACCAATATTAATGAGGAGTTTAAAGTTGAAAAGATCCTAGACCGACGCACTATAAAGGGTCAGGTTCAGTACCTCGTTAGATGGAAGGGTTACTTACTAGAAAACGACTCATGGGAACCTGTTAGGCATTTAAACTACCCTAATAAGATTCGGGAATTTCAGCATGGAGATAGTTAAAGAAAGGGTCTAATAAAGAAGGCAATGCGAAGGCCTTAGCAGCTTCCGTATTAAAGGCTGCCTGTGAAGAACTTTCACTGTTTAACGTAGTAACTAACCAACTCTTTTCCTTTTTCTTAATTTCCTTTTATTTCCGCTCCTCCTCCTCGAGCCTCTTGAGCTCTTCAATTTCCTTTATATCACGAGAAATGAAATCGCCAGCGCAACGGCTAAGAAGTTGTTCTTGCTTTTAGATTTAACAGGAACGGGCTAATAGGGTTTTAATTTGGTCCTAGATCTCTAGCTCCTTTGCGCGAAGCTCCTATTAGGCTCTTACTAAACGTTTCCACTCCGCATCGGAGAACGAAGGTTCTAAATTAATACACTTCTAACATGCCTTCACACATTCTTTACAGCGACTCGAGTTTTCGGATTTAATGCATGTTTTGTTTAATTAAGAACACCTAACGCATGGGGTCACCATCGTGAAGCCGCACTCTTTGATTTTCTGTTTAAGATTCGCGCTACGACTGGATGAACTGGAAGACATGGTAATGGATTAGTCATGAGTACACAGCAAAGAAAAGAAAAGAGGATTAGATAATAGGATCTAACTCACCTAAGGATGCTACGCTACTTATGTCTTTGGGACAAAGACCTTAAAAGAGGGGGATTATTAGAGAGCCGCGCTAAGACACGGGATGCTGTTAGCCAATAGATTTGCCTAGTAAGATTACGGTATGATGGGATATCACGAGTCGACGTGATATCACGTCGATGCCGGAATGAAAGGTTAATCCGGCCGATCATATCGGACGATTTAACGCTACGACTAGATAGGGCTACGGTCATATCAGGGAGTTTGACAGAACATAGCAGGTGCTATGATGGGACAAATCAGGCGATATGATGGACACTATATTTAAGGACACTCGTTCACGTATGTAATTAGTTTTAGTTACTATCTATTACTTTCGGAATCAAAGCTACCCTACCTTTCAGAAACCCAGTTTACCTTCTTAGTCCGTTAAGAAGCAGTCTTCTCACATCGATATAAGAATACCTTAAGCCCTTCCAGGCCTTAAGCAGGATCGGTTGGACTTATCTGACAGTAAGAGTCTTAAAGAGAAGTTGATCATAGGACTTCACGGATGTTCTCATGCATTTCATGCACCAAAAGAGTTTAGGTATTATTAGAGTAGCAAGGATGGGATAAACATAAACCATCTTAGAAATAATAGGGATAAGTTAAGAGAGGGAAGATATTAGGATAAGAGAAGGCAAATAAATTATAGAAGATAAGATAAAGAGGAAGAGGAGAGTAGAAGAAAAATCTATAGAATATTATTATTATATTACCTTCTTTATTTACCTTACTATTAAGTAAAAGGTTTTAAGGCTAAATATACTTAATTATACTAAAAGGCTATAGTTATATATAATAAATAGTTACTCCCCTCCTTTATTTCCCCTCTAAAGCTATAATAGAAGTCTTTAAAGACTTATAAGGCTAAAATTAGTTATAAAAGAACCCTTTAAGGTTCTATTTATAGTTCTATAACTATTTATAATTATAATATTCTATTTCTAGATTAGGATGATCCCTTAGAGATAGGGGTGCCGTGTTATAGTTAGAGTGGCCTAGATACCTAAAGGGTTAGGCCCCTAGTTAGAATAGTTTAGGTATATAAGGTGCCTAAAGGATTAGGCTTATTAGGAAGGGCTAATAGCTAGGGGTTAACTAATTNAAAGGGTTAGGCCCCTAGTTAGAATAGTTTAGGTATATAAGGTGCCTAAAGGATTAGGCTTATTAGGAAGGGCTAATAGCTAGGGGTTAACTAATTAACTTAGTTAACTTAGCTAATCTACTTACACAACCTAAGGAGGTTGGCTGAGGGGTAAGCTAAGAGGTTAACTAAGAAGATTAAGAGACCTTAACTTAATATTATCCTTTTAATAGCTGGTTACTTAGGTCCCCTAAAGGTCCTAGATATCTTGTAAAGCAAGGATTAGTTTTATCCTAATTTAATATCTACCTTAATAATATTATACCTAATTAACTTCTCTTTAAGACTCTTATAATTTCTAATCCTTTATCTTTAATTACCTATAATATTATTATAGTTTCCTTATTATCCCCTCCCCCCGGCCCTTTAACTAGGTTATAATCAAGTTACCCTACTAGTAAAGTTCAAGTATTAGAACAAATTCCACCTCCTTAAAGAATATAGCCCTAGTAATCTTCCATAGTAAATAAGAATAGTATTAAGGAGCCTATTTTAGAGGAATAACTAGATAAACTAAAATAAAAGGTTAACTATCTTAAATAAGTTAATAACCTTAAGTAAAAAATCTATAACCTCTAGTAGGAAATAGACTAACTAGAATACTTACCTCCTCCTTAATAACTATCCACTTTAATTAATCCTAAACTATTAAGTGTATAAAGGGTAGTTAAACCTATATTAAAACCTTACTATAAGGAAATTAAGATTAAGTATATTAAATCTTTCACGCTTAAAACTACTTTATAGGAATAGGAAGAATAGCTTATAAATATTAAAACTATTATTAAGTATACCCCTATAAAATATAATACTAATTATAGTAAGATTACTACTAGGTAGAATAAAATAGATAATACTTATTAAAGGAAGTAATATTAATATATTATAGAAAGAATAATAGGAGGTCTTTAAAATAAAACTAAAATATAAAACTATTTTAAGGAATAGATACTATTCTTACTCTATAACTTAATAACCCTTTATTCTAACCTTATAATAGTAAAGAACCATGCTTAATAATAAATTAGTTAAGATCCTTAGGATTTTAATAGTTATCTTAAGAGCCTTAAATATTATTTTCCCTAGGTTAATAAAGAGTAATATACTTTAATTTTCTTTTCTAAGCTTTAAGTTAATCTTTACTAAAAGATATAAGAAACTATACCTTAACTACCTACTACCTAAGAGAAAATAGTAGTAAAAGTAAATTAGTATTAGTATCTTATAAGGAAGGTAGTATTTCTATTATAAAAGGATAATATAAGTCCTACCTTAAAGACTTATTACCTAAATAAAAAGTTTAATTAGAATACAGGAGGTTAGCTAAATAATATAAATAATTCTAAGAAAATCTAATAAAATCTTATTAGTAAAGATAGGAATATTCTCTACTATTATAATTATTAAAGTAATACTTATCTCTCTAATTATTACCCTAAACTAAAATCTAGGTGTAAAACTACTATTTAGGAGATAATTACTAAGTAAGACTTAACTAATTCTTCTAACCCTAAAGTAACTACTTTAGAAAATAATAATTAGTTAGAGATATATCTCTATTCTTAGCTAAATACCCTTTTATAGGGATAACTACTTATTTTACTATTAATATCTAAATAAAATATTATATTTTTACTTATACTAATATAGACACCTATGCTAAGGTTAATATTATTAGTTACTATCTTATCTACTTATTAAAGTTATAGTAAGTAAAACTTATAGCCCCTAATCTTTATGCTATTAATTTATAATAAATACTAACCTATAGAGTATAGAAGGTCCCTATATCTACTACTAATTCTTAAGGGACTAAATAATATTTTACCTAAGATTATATTATAATTAGCTATAATCTATTCTTAAAAGGTAGCCCTATCTTACTATTAATAACTACCCTTTAGGACGAGCGTATTATCCTAGACCCTAAATCCTAAAAATAGTAGTTTAAGACACCTAAGTTTAAACTCCTTAATAAATTTAAGTTTATAAAAGCCTACTAAAACAAAGCCTATATATTCACTATTATTAAATTACCTTAGGAAGTATGGCTCCCTCTTAATTTAGAAAATAAATTAGATTTAGAACTACTATTAAACCCTAATAAATTACCTCTAGAATTTAAAGGGTTTCATAATCTATTTAATAAGGCTAAAGCAAAATCCCCTCTAATACTTAAGAAGAGTTAACATACTATTATTCTAGAATAGGGGATGAAACCTCCTTAGGGACTAATATATCCTTTATTAGTATCTAAACTCAAAGCTTTATATGAATATATTAATAATAATATTACTTCTAGGTGAATTTAACTATTATAGAGTTCTATAGGGGCTCTAATTCTTTTTATACCTAAAAAAGATAGTGGTCTTTGATTATATGTTAATTATTAAGGACTTAATAAGGTTATTATAAAGAATTAATACCTCCTACCACTTATTTTAGAAATTTTGGATTATTTAGCTCATGCTAAATTCTTTACTAAGCTTAACCTTTAAGATGCTTACTATCATATCCATATTAATAAGTAGGATTATTAGAAAACTACTTTTTAATATTAATATAGTTACTATAAGTATACTATTATGCCTTTTAGCTTAATAAATACTCCTACTACCTTTTAGGACTATTTATAATCTACTTTATATAATATTCTTAATTAATTTTGTATTATTTATCTTAATAATATTCTTATTTTTTCCCTTAACCACGTCTCTTATACTTAGTATATTATTAAAGTCTTTAAACGTCTTTAAAAAGCTAACCTTTATATTAAGGAAAGTAAATATATCTTTTATTAGACTAAAATTAAGTTCTTAGGGTATATCATATCCTAAGATAGGATATTAATAGATTCTTATCATATTAATACTATTATATTATGAGATGAACCTAAGATGTTCTATAATATATAAGTTTTCCTTGGATTTTACATACAGAATGTACCTTTGGGGGCCGGCATCGCCTAAACGGGCGATGCGCATAGCCCGTTTGGGCGATGATGGCCCCGGGCGCTAAACCCCAACAGGAAGTCCCTGGCCGCCGCTTTACCGCACCAAAATTACCAGAGCGGCAGCGTAACGGCGTTACGGCGCACGGCTCACTGTGGCACTCCCCTTAGCGCGGCAATCCCCACCGGACTCGCCGGGCTCCACTGTGATTCGCGATTGGCTTCTCTCCCAGAGTATACCCAAGGACGCATCACCCACCGCCAGCCAGAGTCACGGAGAACGGACGGTGCAAAGTCCTGTTGCCAGACCGTGCCGGACAAGCGACACTATAAATCCTACTATGTCTCTCTGTACTCCCATCCCCCTTTTTTCTCGTCAATCCATCCATGCTTTGCTCCTCCCTTTCGTTCAATGGCGTACTCAGGTCTCCCCAGGCAAAGAAGCGCACGACGTCGAGCAGAGACCTCTGAGCGGAAGTCGCACCTCTACTACGCGAGGCGACGGGAGCGACACCTTGCTAGTGGACCAACGCTGCCCCAATATGCACCGAATACAAACATCTCCGCCGCCTCACTACGAGGCAAGTGGAATCGGTATGTCCTAATCACTTGAATCGTCGTTGCATGACGTGCAGGCAGCTTATACCAACGGTGATTAGATTCTGTCTAGAGGCTGCACTCGATCCTGATGAGTTGCTCAGGAAGCTCACCGCTGCGGATGTCAAGGCCTGGTTTGACTGGATCAAAGACAATTTCCGGGGTTCGATCAGAGCCGACGGAACCCTCGCCAACTACTGGAGGACGCTGAAGAGGCTTTATTACCTAAAGAATGGTAGAGACATGGATCCTGACATGCGCCGGGACTGTCTTAACGTATGTGGTTCTGCTCTTCCTTATTTTTGTCCCGGTTTCTAACCTAGGGTGGTAGTACAAGAATCAGGTCAGCAAGGAGATGGGCTTGCGGAAGCTTCCATTACCGAAACCTACTGCTGATTGCATTGACCTCCTGGAGTTCCAGGTCACACACCTTGTCCATTGTGATTCAGTGTTCGCGGATGAGAAGCAGCGTCTCTATCCGCTGGTTGGTCTTAATCTATCAAGCATCTCAGCCTGTCGGGCAGTCTCGCTATTCGACACGAGACACGCGGTAAACCCTCGACCTGACGGCACGTTCGGAGCGCCAGGGGAAGAGGTAGCGACCGAGGAGGAGCACGATATGAATTCAGCCGACAGCTTGAGCGATGGATTTTTAAGCGATTCAGGCTACGACACAGGCGTCAGTGGTGGCCTGGGTGAGATGGAAGAATTAACATCCGAGATGGACGACGGCGAATTGGGCCTGGATCACGAGGATAACGATGGCTACACTTCGGACGGTTCCACCGTGACGGATGACGGCTATCTTGCTGGGAATGAGGAAACTGGCACTATCCTGTGGAGACATGTCGAATTCTACATTCTCCGCAATCCTGTGCGTGGGCGTCGTAATCTGCTGACTGCCATTGTGACCCTGCTTCACACCAAAGGAGAAGATCGAAAGCCGCGAATGTGAGCTGAAGACCCGCCTTAGGTATCTTGTTAGAATAATATTAACTTGACTGCAGAAAGAGGTTTGCTATCGAGCACGAGGACAACCTTCTGTTCGACCTCCTCTCACAGCTCTTGGCACTGGGAATAGACGACGATATATTTGTGGCTACGATCCGGGATGTGGCGGACATCTATACAGTGCCACTCCCCCGTCATCGAAGAGGCATCCGCCTGAAGATCAAACGAGACAAGTTGGACCTCCCCATATTTCGCGAGCCCGAACGCACTGAAGAGGGCTACCGCACGTCTGTTCTGCTGGCACTCAGAGCGAGAACCTGGGCACGCTATATTAAAAAGATCGGGAGGAAAACGGGTCAGGAGGAGAATCTGACACAGAAAGAGGTCCGGCGTGGCGCTATTAACGCAATCAATAGTATGGCTTTGAGATCTTTGTAGGGAGGGGTCTTCCGCTAACGCACTGGAACAGATCGGGCCCCAGCCTCGGTTCGTGATCAGGTTGCTGACCACGAGTCTAACGCGGTCAAATACTATCTGAATGAGAAGGTTGATTTTGACACGGCGGCTGCTTTTCACAGACGAGCGTCCAACGAGGTGGTGCAGAGGGAAATGCGGACAGCCACTCTGGTGGCAGATAATACGGCCCCGATTCGCCTGACCGAAGAGCAATCACGCCAAATCAGCAATCATCCCAAAGCCCGACGGCTGCGCGCACGATGCCAGCAGCTGACTTTAAAGATCCATCAACTTGGATTTACCGTCAAGGAGGCTCAACATGGTGAACTCGAGTTGCGTCTGGATGAGGAGGAAGACACCAAGGCTAAAAGACTTTGCGAAGAAGCCTTAGAGCTCGGTCGGCAAAAGAAAGAAGCAGATGCTGAGTTAAATCGGACTCTCACTAAGCTCCGCGAATCAGCCCTGGAGAAAAACAGGAAACGACATTTCCGGAATACCGACACGGAAATTTTTAACCGGCATTATGAAGCTCAGCCCTGCGATGAGGAAAGTGAACAACGGAACATACAGCCAAATTACTCCATCCCGGAGCGAGAAGAGGTAGTTCGGTTGCTCTGCTACTCATCGGCGCCGCAGACAGACGAGGAGGCCCATCTTCGTCGATTGGATTTCATCCGCCTCATGGTTCGGTGGCAGCGTCGGAAAGAGAGCCCCCGCCGTGGGAAGCAAGCAAGCGCTGTTATTTCCCATCCGGAGTGGGGGACAACGACAAGGGAAACCACCCCAGCAGCCATTTCCGAGAAATATGATGCTCTGCAGTGCCCGTTCTGTCTGTCAGACCGAAGCTTACCTCCTATTGACCGTGAGAGGAAAAAGAGCAAACGCAATAAACTATGGGACCATGTGGAGAACATGCACAAACTCGAACTCGCAGTATTTGATGATGGCACGAAACCTTGTGGATTATGTGGCATGAGAAAGGTTCACTTTGTCCCTCCGAGCGTGACACACTTCAAAAACCATACCCAGAAGGTCCATGGAATCCGGCTTCGCCCTTGATATGTGCCTTCATTATACACATTATCACCAACAGGCTTCCTCATCTGGAATACCTGCTTTCTGATAGTATGAATCTTGCATTCTTTCTCCTTATACTCTCTCTTATTGATGGTCATCTTCAAGTGCTCTGCCAGACAGAGATGCTTACAAGCGTCGGCTCGGTCGCCCTGCCACACAAGGTGAAATAAAGTAGTAGAAGAACTCGAAAGGGTTCACAGGCACAATGAAGCTTACGCTCTGTCCATGCCGTTCTTTATGCCTCAGCAGATACACAAACGCCCTCGACGCCAGTTCACAACACTTATCAACTCCAACTTCGTCAAGCAACTCCATGGTTTAGTTGCTATAGGTCGCTAATGGTCATATTAGCACGCCTCGAAATGCAAAGCCACTAAAAAACACCTATCCCGCTAGCGAAACCATCCATTTTCATTGTAGACTATGGAGCTATCATCGATGTAGTAGTTTGGGCTTGCATTAAGCGGAGAAATACCGCAACAAGCCGCAAGATGAGGTGAGTTAAAGCCAGTAACATGACAACCTCGGACAAGCCTTGACACGCGAAAGTGGGTGATCCGCTAGTCGTTGATTGCGCGGACTATTGTGCATATGTGGTAAATAGAAAAAAGCGGACTAGTCACGCCTCCTGCGGGTTATCTCGCGCACGCCACCTGGTGGTAGACCAGCCGATCCGGTCTTATGCGTCGGGGTCACCTCACCTTCATTACCGTAAACCGATATGGTGCTTCCATTTCGTCGCCTTAGCCTGGAATCCGACCCGATATTCTTATCCCATGAATGTCCGGCGATGTGGGAGGAAATGGTATCCGTTCGATCCTCCACGCTGCCAGGAGGGTTGAGATAGTCAGTGGAAGCTCGCGCCGGTTTTGGTCGGGGGCAGAGACGCGGAGGCCCAAAGGGTGGTAAGGCCATGTATGAGCCCTCAAGCGGTTGCTCCTCGGCTTCGTTATAGTCTTTCTTGTTAGAGTATGATTCATCCTCGGATCCGGTTCCCGACCCGCAGGGGGGAGAAGGGGGAGTGGGTGGTTTAGGAGATGATGGGTGAGACGAGGCTCTCTGCCATGGATGAGGGGCGCTCACAGGGCCGGAGGAGGTCTTTTGTTCGGAAGGCGCCTCCTCGTCCTCTGCTAAATCTACCACTTCTGTCGGAAATATTGCATCTCCACTCCCTTGGCTCGGGGGAGAGGACGGTGGAGTAAGCCGTGACAGGTGGTCTGGAGTAGGAGATGAAAGGGGCGGTGTGGAGTCCATCGAGGATGGGCTATCTGGGGGCCGATTGTTTGGCACGCGGGATATCTCTTTTTTCAAGCTGCGTATAACCTTCTCCCCAAAATGATTTCGGTCAGAATTGGGTTTATGTGAAGCTGTTTTTTGTTGTTCAAAGAACTGCTGTTGCGCCCGCTGGGCTTTCTGGAGTTTGTCAAAATCGATTCTGAGCATTGCCATGAACGACTGTCTATGAAGTGCCTTGTTAATGATGGCTATGGCACAGGCGAAGGGAAAGGAAGTGAAGCCTTACAGTTGGGCGAGGCTGAGATTTGATGGAGCTTTCAAGTACGTTTGTCGTGCCATCTGGACACCAATAAGCGCCGCAACTGTCCTCATCGACCCTTCAAATACCCCGAGTTGATGGAACAGCGGCGGAATAACTCTTCTGCTCTGCCTATACCAGTCGAGTCGGGAAATCCACCTTTCAATAAGCTCAACAGGGCTGTCATGGAGGTCGAACCAGAAGAACTGAACAAAGTCCTCCAGCGTGTCAATGAGCCGTTTTGATTCTGTCGTAATCCTTCTCATCAGTTTGCGGTGCTTCTTAAACATTGGTTCCAGTTCTGGAATCTGCTTCGCCTCGTCCATTGTGTCTTGGTAGAAATTATATGTCAACGCAACGGTCTCAGTTCTCTTCATGATTTCTTTGACATCGGCCTTCGCATGGCGCATTTTCTTGTAAGCGCGTTTCATCTTCTGGGCAAGTGTTACAAGGTCCTTGGCGATTGGGTAGGCAATGCCTGCTACTCCCAGAGCTTCTGCCATAATGTCACGTTCCGTGTTGATTTGGCTTACATGACAAAACAATGAAGCATAACAGCGCGAGGGAGGGTCCGGGAACGGATCGTAAAGCTAGAGGGCATGGAGGCGCTGGTGGGAATTTATGCTCGTCCCAACCGGGCTGAGATGGTGGACTTTGTAGGGGCGGGGGGAGAAATGAGACAAGAGCAGGTCGATTAATTTGGCAGGATTGAGCCTTGCTCCTCACTGCAGTGATGGGCAGATATAAATTGATTATGTCATTAGCTGCCACATGCGGGCAGACGCGCTGCTCGCTAGCTATACATGGCTAATTCATCTACAGCATGAGACCCGGGACAGAGCTGTAAAGGTAGACAGAGGGCTTCAAAAAATCCATGAAAAATACATCAAGCAAAGAGTAAAGTGAAAAGGCGAGGAACGAGGTAATCGGTCGGCCACCAGAGAGGAAAAAAAGCAAGTAGTACTACCCCGCTTCGCCTGACCGCGCCCTGCGGAAAAAGTGAGGCTCCCGGTCTTGAAGGGCCAATCTTCGACTGCCACAACCGAGAGTCTGACCAACGACACCAAGACCGCATTTACGGCTGTCGAGTACACGACCTGTGCATCTACCTCGTGAGGCACAGCGACCGTCATATATGCGGTGGTTCATTCGACACTGGAGCCATGCTCAGATAACCGCAAAATATCAAGGCCCAGATTGGTGGCACTGACGCCTTGTGGCCCTTGGGGCGGGGGGCGGGGGGCGGGATTTACCCGCAAAAGTACAGTATGTCCGCTGTTCACTGCGCCACTCGCAACCCTGACATCCACTTCGTCATTTGTGCATGGGTTATTGAGCCTTGAGGTATCTCATCGTGCTCATTGGTTGAATTGCCTATCGGCCTTCAACGGTAACTACCTCTCCAACTTTCTTTATCCAAGAATGAGTTTGACGTTCAAACCTCTAACAGGCGCCAACCATGGCTGATTGCGCGTTACATCTGATGCCTGTTCTACTTTCCGTCTTTTTCGGCCACCACCCTGCGCCTCTGTTCTCGCCCCTCACTCCCCTCCCAGTCGTGCTAGTCTCTCATGTTCAGACTACGACTAGACTGTGCAGATGGGGATAAGTGAGTGCATTGGACGAGTATGTCTAATAGCATAAATACTTTATCTATAAGTCCGCTGGCCGTTGTTGCCTGTCGTCGCTGTCGATCACGTTTTGTGGAGTCCTTGTTCGCCCGAAACGTGGCCGATTGGTGCTCGACTATCCGGCCTGCTGCGCCCCGTGATAGAGGTCTCTGGAAAATATGACAGTGCACGGACGGCTATTTGCTGTTGCAGTGCTGCCTGTGCAATATCATCGAGCTCAGAGGGTGGTATGTGCTCCGCCGAATCAACGGAGTTTCGCATGTCCCGCTCAACCCAGTTTCTTGGGTTAAGCGATCCTCTCCTTGGCTTGTCGATGGCTTTCCAAACAGAGAGTAGTGGCGTGGTCGATATGGCGGCGTAGCGGATAGTAAGGTACATTCCTAGGCGAGGGCCGATGAGTGCGTTTTCTGAGACTTGGCGTCTCTTCTAATCGCTGCATGGTCTGTGGCTTAGGTGCTCGACCAAGGGGCTTAGTACTGTTGCTTGAGGCAAGCAGCGACCGGATTGATTTGTAACCACGAGAGAGGCAGGAAAGAGGTTGAGCGGCGGCAGGAATGTTCGAAGGCCAGTTTCAATGAAGAAAAACAAAACAGTGAAGAATGAAAAAGGTCGGAAGACTGGAGTGGTTAAGTCCTGACCTAAAAATAGCCTGATACATGCATACTCCCAGCGGAAGAACAACAGTTGGGCGCAAGGGCGAGTCAGCGGTTGACCAGGTTCAGGCGTTATTCCTTCTGGCCAACAGCCCCGCAATCAATAAATCAGCCCGTGTGGTGTCACACTTATGCGCGTTATGAAAATCGTCTTAGGTAGCTCACTTTTCATCACAGAAAGTTTTCGGGACGCACGAGTTCGGAGTCGTGAAACTCCCTCCAGGTCTACTCATTTCTATTTTCTGTGCGGAGGCTGTAAAATTTGCCTGCCAATGCAACCTCGTATGTGATGGAGGCAGGCGATTTATCTGTATCTATGTCTGACCGAAACAGCGTGGTCACGGCGCGGCTGAGTTACCCCGCTTCAAGGCTAACACTTAGGCTCATTTTCCAGCTCACCAGGACCTCTTTCGAACCTAACGCACTTGTATCTAACTTTGAGCGCTCCCTGTCTGCGCTGAACTTCAGGTCCTCAGTAACAGTGGCGCACGCACACCTTTCTAGAGGATCATACGAAAAGTCGAAATGCCTGGTTCAAGCGACTATACGGTCGGCTGGATCTGTGCTCTACCATGCGAATATGTTGCCGCACGATTATGTCTCGATGAGAAGCACTCAGATGTGTCGGCCAATGCCTCCGAGACCGATAACAATAATTACATTCTTGGGCGAATTGGCAAACATAATGTCGTCATTGCCGTTTTGCCCAAGGGCGGCCATGGTACAACATCTGCGACAGCCGTTGCAAGAGACATGCTGCACAGTTTCCCCAACATTCGTATCGGATTGATGGTAGGCATTGGTGGCGGTGTCCCAACAAAACATGATATTCGGCTCGGCGACGTGGTAGTAAGTGCGCCTCAAAATGGCAAAAGCGGGGTGTTTCAATATGACTTTGGAAAGACGATTCAGAACGAGGCTTTTGTCTACACTAGTATTCTTGATCAGCCTCCAGTCGCGCTACGTACCGCAATATCTAAACTTAAAGGCGATTACGAGCTGGAAGGCCATACAATCGAGGAAACCATCAACGTTATCCTCTCCAAGAATCCACGGCTGCAACAGAAATATGGCAGGCCCAGTTCTCTGACCGACCAATTGTTCAAACCTCATCTTACGCATGACAGTATTTGCTGCCGCGAAGGAGGATGCGTGAGCAACTATAACAATATAGTCACAAGGGCGGAAAGAACCCAACTTGAAGGCGCGATAAAAATTCACTACGGCACAATTGCCTCAGGCAACCAATTGATCAAAGACGCTCTTATCCGTGACAAGCTTTCAGGAGAAAAAGACATTTTATGTTTTGAGATGGAAGCTGCCGGGTTGATGAATCATTTCCCCTGCGCGGTCATTCGTGGTATTTGTGATTACTCCGATAGCCACAAGAATGATCAATGGCAAGGATACGCTGCGTTGACGGCCGCTTTGTATGCGAAGGACCTTCTGTCCCATCTTTCGCCTCGCGAGCCAAATTTGGAAAAAAGGATGGTGGACATTTTAGCAGATGGTTAGTCACCTTGTGCTTCTTTTAGGGCATCGCTAACGCTAAATAGTGAATAAGACTCTATCCAGAACAGAAAGCCTTGTTTCAAACGTGGAGTCTAAGTTGAAAATGCAGGAATATAACACGATTCTCAACTGGTTCACGAAGTCGGACCATGGAGTTCAATTGCGCGAGAATCTACGTCATCGGGCACCGAAAACTGGTAGCTGGTTTCTTGAATCCCCGGCATTCAAGAAATGGCTGGCTGGGACGAGAGAAATGCTATTCTGCCCCGGAATCCCAGGAGCAGGCAAAACCATGATTGCGTCTATTATGGTTGACCACTTACATCGTATCTTCAGAGAAGATGGCAGTGTTGGTGTCGCGTTTGCTTTTCTCGATTACCAAGCAAAAGTGTCGTATCCAGACCTACTTTTGGGCTTCCTAAAACAACTAATTCCTAACCCAGTACCAGTTACGATTCTAGAGCTCTATGAATATCATAATGAAAAAGGATCACACCCTGACGTGAGTGAGATCTTTGCTACATTATGCAAGATCATTCAACACTATTCCAAAACCTTCATAGTTATCGATGCACTGGACGAAATCCCCACCTCTAATGGGATCCGATCAAAAATCATCAAAGAGCTTTTCAAAATTCAGGAAGCTGTTTGTGTGAATATCGCGGTAACATCAAGGCCGATCCCCGGAATAGTGGAGAGATTTGAGAAAAGAAGTATTCAGCGAGACATACGTGCCAGTGATGACGATGTGCGCAGATTCATTGCCAATGAAATGCTAAACTTTGAGCCGCCGATTCGAGACGCAGATGGCTTGGAGCGAAAGATAACAGACACAATTATGCGGGCAACTGATGGGATGTAGGTATAACGTCTCGAGACAATCAGTATAATGCTTATAAACGTAATAGGTTCTTGCTGGCACGATTACATCTAGGAATTTTGCATGATCAAACAAGCGTCGGAAATATCCTCAAGGCACTAGAAGATCTGCCTGCAGGTTCCAAGGCCTACTCCAAGGCTTATGAAAATATCATGACTAGAGTCAGCAGTCAACCGGAGGATCGCAGAAAACTAGCACTTCAAGTGTTGTCGTGGATGACTCAGGCGAAAAGGTCGATTGGAATTTCAGAATTACAACACGCGCTTGCGGCCGCGGACGGCCCATCAGAATTTGATGAAAAATACATTCCCGATATATCAGTGATAGTTGATGTGTGCGTTGGGCTGGTCACCTCTAATGCGCAATCGGGGACTATTCGGTTGGTCCATTACACAGCAGCAGAGTATTTCGGGCAACGCTGGACATCGTGGTTTCCTGAAGCAAATCAGCATATGGCTGCGACTTTGATCAAGTACTTGAGCTATGAGCAATTTGCTGTCTCACCTGCTCGGACATGGAAAGAATATCACCAGCGACTTAAAGAGAACTGTCTTTATGAATATGCGGCCCATTACTGGGGTGAACATGCCAGGAAGGCCTACCCCCAAGTTGAGAATTTGGTCACTGCATTTCTGCGGTGCGCTAGGAATCTACTCAACGCTTCCCAAGTCTTAGACTCCTCGGCTCATCTCTCCTTCGGCCTTTTACGGTCCCCAGAAAACGTAACAGGTTTACATGTCGCGGCACACTTTGGAATGATCGAACAAATCAGAATACTCATTCGCGAAGGAGGACACCTGGATGCGAGAGACGACTTTGGCCAGACTGCCCTACACTGGGCTGTGAGAAATAGACAACACCAAGCAGTCGAGTTTCTAGTGCGCGAAGGCGCTGACGTGAATGCACTGGATGCACAGCATGAGAGTCCGTTGCACTATGCTGGTTGCCACGGTGGCGAAACCTTGATAAAGCTCCTTATCGATCTAGGGTCCCAGGTTGAAGCTCAGAATAGCTCTGGGGAAACCCCGCTTCTAGTGGCTGCTAGAAATGTGAATACGGAAGCCATCAAAGGGCTTCTTATAAACGGATGCAATCCGAAAGCATTGGAGAATATGGATCGGAATGCATTACACTTAGCCATAGTTTCACGCCAACGTGGCCGTGCCGAGGCCGTAAAGTTGCTTATATCATACAATGTTGAAGTCGACCTGTGTGACGCAGACAATATGACACCACTCCACTATGCGGTTGCCCAAGGAGATTGTGCGCTCGTGGACTTGCTCCTTGAGGCAGGTGTTGACATCAATATCGGAGTGCAGAGAAAGTTTGACAAAAACGCCGTCCACCCAACTTGTATGAACGCAGGCCTGCCGCCTGTTGTACTGGTCCAAGATACGAATGAACCTGTTGGTCTTACGCCACTCCACTTTGCTGCTTGCGCGGGGAATAGTAGAATGACAAAGTATCTTATACAAAAAGGTGCTAATCCAAACGCGCGATGTTACTGTCTTGACACACCACTTCACGTTGCCCTCCGCCGGGGCCTTTTGGACGAACGGAAAGACCGCAAGATATCAGATGACCTTTATCCATTGCCTAACCATGATGGCTGGACTGATGACGTATGGCATGTCGAGATTACCAGAGATACTTTATCAGACTGCGAATCTGATGAGGCGGACGAGATCTTTGGCTACATTGAAGAGCAACGATTGGCCGTAGTCAGCGCCCTGCTTCAATGTCCCACTATTGAGGTGAACGCCGAAAATATCCAACTTGACCGTCCCCTGCATCTTGTGAGATACGCAGATCCCAACGCTGCGGTCATTGTATCTACGTTAGTTGATCTGGGGGCTGACGTTTTCGCGCCTAATGGCAAGGGCCAGTCTATTTTGCATCTTGCTTGCACAGCAGACGCCCCTTCTATAGTAAGCGAGGTGCTTGATAGAGGTCATGCCATCGATACCGCCGATTACCAAGGCCTTAGTGCTTTGCATTGTGCCGTGCGAGCGGGTAGCTGTGAGACTGTTCAAACAATATTCAGTAGGGACGAAGGATTGTCCAGATCTTACTGTCTTCGCGTCGACGCTGAAGGCCGAACCCTACTCCACCATCACCTGCAAAATGACCTGTCATCCATTGACATGGCCAGGCTACTATTGTCATACGGCGCCAGAGTGGATGCCATTGACAATAGGGGACAAACCCCACTTAGCATCTATCTTGGGACTTTTAAATTTGGAGACCGAGTAGAAATCTGTCGGCTCCTGCTCGCAAATGGGGCTAGCGCCTTTTGGATTGATCCTGACGGCAGAACCCTCGCGCATCTAGCGGCTCGCAGCCTTCGTACAGAGCGCGGAGTTCTGGAAGCCTTGGCTGACTATGGCCTCGACCTCTCAATGAAGGACAAAAGTGGAAAAGGTATCTTGCACCATGGGTCCATCAGCAAATCATTGAGCTTAGATGTTACAACATTCCTCTGTGAGCGGAACATACCTGATCTTTACGATAGAGATGGTAGTGGGAAAACCCCTCTTGATTACGCATCTGAGCCAGATAACAGAGAGATATTACGAGAGATCGGTCGCCATGGGGGAAGGGAGAAGACTCTGGAAGCTTTAAGAATCTTTTTTTGACGATCATGCTGATGATCTGCCGCCTCATAGTTTGCGGTCTGTCTATCGCCTGTATGACGGCGTGGCTGTCCGCGAAAATTGTCACCTCTCAGTGATCCTGGAGTTGGGCCATCATCAGCTCCATTTGAATTCCCATGAAGGCAGACCTCATTCTTCCGACCCAGAAATATATGCCGTGTTTTGCCGGGATTGTGTTGAATAACCGTAGCTCCAACTTTCTCGTTGATTGCGCTCTTGTCGCTGCCCTTCAAAGTTGAATCAGGCTCAAGCTCAGACAGAGGTGTTTGTTATGTTTGCAGTACATAGGTGACGGTGACACGTGACACAAGCAAGATCAGATCAACTCGACCTGCGCCGCGGCCCAAACATGTCCTTACACGGACGAGGTCAAGGGCTGGCTGCCTTTACGAAATCGAGACAAGTCTGCAGAAGATAGCATCAGCCCGAGCAAACATACATACAAGCACCTGATACCCGGTGGCTACTTCGAGAACTAGGAGCAAGCGTGGAACTTAGGACGAGTGTCTCTTTTCCGATCTCCTAGCAAAGGAATCTTCATATTGGGCAAGCTCAACCCTTGGGCTCTCAGAGCGGGTAGTAGGCCCTTCCGCGGTAAGAGTCTCTAGACCATTCCCAACAAAGCCGGAGGGAATAATTAAAGGTGGACTTTTTTTCTTTGTCTGCTCTCTTGGTGCCACATTCCAAGCCAGCGAAGCGGCAAGACGACACTTGTCTGAACAGAACAGGGGAGCCGGGTGTTTCGTTGCCACACGACACACACTTCTCAAATAAAGTTGACATTTGAGATAGCAGCGACAGACTTGTACCACAACACGGATGGCTGAGAAGGATGATCCTTTTTTTTTTTATTAGACTTATGTTATAATAAGAGTTCGCGGGATATTTTTTTATTCTCGGCGAGTTTCTTGAATTATGCAATGATGACGAGCGCGGAAACATTACGTCAGTTAATCCCAAGCAAGCTCATGTCATATATCGTTAGCTACTGTGCAGAAAACTAGTCCCAGCCAAACGTTAAAAGGAAACCCAGACAATCATTTCGTGTCACAGGGGCGCTCAGGTTGCCCTTGCATACTGTATTAATTTACACGCGACCTGAAGGGTGAAAAACACAGGAGAACTCTTATAAGAGCTCTGAATCCGGAGGAACTCAAAAAATCCCTCGGTAAAGAGCTGGAATCGACAGAAGGCTGTCCTCGATACCACTGTCGACTCGACTACCGAGCCGCCGTGGCTCTCACAGTGGCTGAGGAAATTGCCGCAACATCAGTAGGCGGTCAAGGATGGTAGGTATCGATCGCGGCTACACGCAATGGGCTAAATCGGCGGTTGGTGGGTGGGCGGGGGCAGGTTATCTTCTCTATTAAATTGCTTTGAGATGTCTTTCTCACAAATTTATGTACATAGGGTTAAAGCTTCGACCGCTTGATTAAGACAAGAGCTGCATAGTCGCCTTTTGGGGGGCTGAGACTTGCTTTTGTGTCAATCACCCGCTGAATACTGCCTTACTTAAGGGATGGAAGAGAACAATCGCCGAACCACGCGTCAACTTGAGGAGCAACAGGAGCTCCAAGAAGCGGCAGAGCACTGTGAAAGCACTGTGAAGAGGAAGAGAGTATCTTAGCTTTTGAGAGAGCCGGAAGATAATTTTGTCGAAATAATCATCAAGCCCTCCATGAGTGGCGATGATTCAACAAATCTCCGGAAAAATACCTGTGCCGGGAGCCGTGATCTGCTGACCTAGAGATCGCCCATCCGCATTTGCCAGTCGTCACGAAGCTTCCCCCATTTCCAACAGTTAATGGCCGACAACAGCTCCCCAGACTACAAAATCCTCTTTCTGCAGGCAGAGGAGAGGCGGAAGCAGGAAGAAGAGAGGAGGAAACTCGCAGAAGATGAAGGACGACGCGAGAAAGAGAGGCGGGAGCAAGCCGAATCACAACGAAACCAGATTGAAGAACGCACGCGCCGGACAACCTTCCTGGAATTCCTACGCCACTGCCACAACTTACTCTCCCGACCATTGAAAGTCGCAACCCCGTCTCGCTCGACCACTGGGACGATACCTCTCCCTAAGGGCAAACATTGCCCGACACGGCTGCGTCCATGGACGGATTGTGTCCGTCAACAGCAAGCCATCTATGACAGGGTATGCATCTACCTACAATCTACAGATGAATCCCGAGCACAACTATTCCCTCCCGTGATTGCACTTGAAGAGCTTGCTAGGCGTTTCGCTCTCCGACCTATCAGCAGTGAACAGGGCATCGAGACATATGAGCGGATTGCCGTGGAAGATCATGTGCGTGATATCATTTTAGAGCTTTGCAAAATCCCGGCTGCTCGAGAGGAATTTATGCTTGGCGATGGTATTTGGTTCGACAACCACACCAACGCGTTGACCGAAAGCCAGGCTGAATTAGACGCAAAACATCCTCATATTTCACGCCGTCCGCGGCCCGATCAATTTTGCATTCACCGTGTGGACGGCAGCACCAATTCCCTCCTCCTCACCGTTGAATATAAGCCACCGCATAAACTCTCCGTGGAGACCCTCCGGGCGGGACTGCGACCAATGGAATTATGGGAAGAGATGGTCAAATGCAACACAGTACCTACGGACCCTATGGAGAAACATAGATATAATGCGGAGCGGCTGGTTGACTCAGCTATAGTCCAGGCATTTGATGTTATGATTGAAGAAGGGCGTGCGGATGCTATTTTGACGAATGGACTTGCTCGAGTGCTCCTCCATGTGCCATATGAGGATCCAACCACGTTGTTATATCACTTTTGTGAACCTAACACCGAGATCGACGAAGAAGATTTGCAGGATCTATGGCAACCGAAAACCTCCGTTGCCAGGGTGCTGTGCCATTGCTTGCGAAGTTTTCGTTCTCCCACGCGTGACCAAGAGTGGCGGAATTCTGCACGGTCACAACTACATGTTTGGGAAACCAGTTTCGACCACACTCGCTCTTTGATTCCCGAGGAAGAGCTACGAAAAACTCCTCCGCTCTCCGAAAATACATCAAGTCCCGAGCTGACTTCCTCAGACTACCAACCGTCGTCTTCTCCACTCGAATCTCCCACAATAGAAGGTCGCCGAGTGCCCACAAGATCTCAAGCAAGATGTACGCCACTTAGTCCCCAACATCGTTCACTGTCACCCGACTCATCTGGCTCCGATTCAAACCAAGCGACGGGGCGCAAACGCGGCTTCAGCCAAGTCACGTCTTCTCCGTCTGCCCAACGAGCAGCTCGCCAGCGCGAGACTGGTAATAATCAAGATAACCGGCCCCGCCACCATGATGCGCAATTTTGCACCCAGCGATGTTTACGTGGACTGCAGTCCGGCGGTGCTCTTGACAGTCGCTGTCCAAATACCATGCTCCATCGTCGAAGCAAGGACAATTTCCAACACCAGATTACTTCGGAAGATCTAGTGCGTTTACTCAAAGCACAATTAGATGAAAATATTGACAGATGCACGCCCCTTGGAGGTTGCGGTGCGTACGGTGCGCCTTTTAAACTTACTTGTGCCATATATGGCTACACTGTCATTGGAAAAGGCACCACGTCGGGGCTGTGGAAAGAAGTCTCGCGCGAAGCGGAGGTATACCAAATGTTGCGGAAGGCGCAAGGGTCTGCGGTGCCTGTTTTCCTGGGTACAATCGACTTATCGAAAATTTATTTCCTCCACGGAGCTGGAGAGATTCGCCATATGCTCGTGATGGGCTGGGGAGGAGAAAGTACGGCATCGAAGGAGTTGACGTCTGAGCTTCTCAAGGAGATTCGCAAATCGAACAAGGAAATAGAAGCTTTAGGAATCATCCACAAAGACCTTCGGCGTGAAAATGTCCTATGGAATGAAGAGCTGGGGCGGGCGCTGATCATCGACTTTCACCGCTCGACATTGAAATCTCGCCCGACTTTGCAACGACCACGAGCTATAAAACGACGACTATGTCGGCCGGAGATAAGAGATCCAAAACGCCTTCGTGTGACGTGAGACGGTGTGTTTATTCCGTGACCGCCTTGGGACTTGGGGAAGATCAAATTCCTCCGTCTAACATCTGAGGGCTGATTGGAAGTTGAAGCAGCTATCTATATAAGCATGGGGCCAAGGCACATACAGATGAATGGTTTCAGCTTATTCTGGGGTTCCATCTCGCTAGGCGCCGAAACATCAGCAAACCTTGTGGGGATGATAACTGGCGTTGATAAGATTGTTCCTTCTCTTACTGTGCTCTACCATCCTTACACGTGCAAGACCGTGCTTTTGGACCCAGATTGCCACGGTAGGCACTTCTGGGCATCTGAGCATCGCCTATCACTCACACTATTTTATAGCTTCAAATCGCGATGATAAGTCTCCGCAAGGTTGCTGTTTGTGCACATCTTTTTCTATTCTCTGAGAACAGCGCCGAGACAATAGAGGTGTAGTTTTTCCTACAGGCAGCCGTTGGCTAGTTATAGACTTGCATGCATATTTTCCCACCCCGACACATGTGAAACTAATATTTTCTGGACCGTCAAAAAACTAACTGCTTCTACCAATGTGAACAGCGATAGTGAGCTAGTAGTATAGACTTTCTTGAATAATCTTCATATGAAATAGCAATCCTCTCGGTCAACGATAAGAAAAAGAACCATCAGGAGTTGACGCCTTAACAATAAGTGCGTCATTCAAAAAGAAAGTCCTCATCCGCCGATCCAGCCAGCCATATTTGTAGCTCATTGAAAGCGTCGAAGTCATTTTTCTCGAGCGAGACCTCGACAGAAGGGTCGTGCCAGTGGTGGGTTCTTTTCGTTTCGGTGTTGCGCAAGGGCTCTCCAATATAACGACAGCTATCAAAATCAATGAGAACAAGCGTGTCGTCATCGTCAATCATGATGTTCGCAGGGTTTATATCGTTATGGACGAGTCCAAGCGAGTGGAGATGTTTAATGGCAGCCCAAATCCCTTCTAGACCACTTATCATATTCCGTTTCACTAGATCGCGCGCGCTTGAAAGGAAAGCAACCTTGCCTAGTCGTTGAGGATTAACTGCTTCAAGAAGCGTCGCCGTGTATCGTTTGAAGCACAGCCCAGCGACTCGACCATTAATCTCATTGTAGCCGTAATAGGTCGCAATATTCGGATGAGGATTCTTGCGCAGGATTTCGCATGTTTCAACTTCGCGAGCGATTTGCTTTTCAAGGTTTCCGTCAATATACGCGAGGAGACTCGGTTTTTTCACATAGACAGCTGACCAAGTGGTATTCACTTCTGGTCCCCTGTCCTCGGTTGGAATTTGCTTGACTTCCTGAAGGTCCTCCAGCGTCTTCGGCAAATCGAATCGATTCATCCATTTTCCAGTATATAATATGCCAGCTTGCAAAACAAAAACCTGGACGTAGGAAAATTTCATTTTGCCATCAATCCTTCTGAAGGCCTCGTTCTTTTGCACAACTTCCATCTCAACTGGATTATCGGTTCTTGAAAGCTGGACAGCGTGGGTTGGCAACAAGGAGTTGCGGAGTCGGAATAATAAAATGGCTGCTACACGTGACTATGCAAGCATGTTACGGACGTTACTGCCTTCGGACGATACCGTGCCAATCAATCACAGGTTTCCTTGAATTAGAAATAATCGATTTTGCCTCTCCTCCGTACCGACCCCTTTTCGCGGCAGTTGTGCTAGCTGCAGCGCCTTTTGAGGTAGTGCAAATCAGGTCTATCAAGAACCAAGCATCATTGGCGAGCTGTAGCAAGATGGCGGTTATATTGGTGGTAGCGGCGAGAGTCCGCTTATAGAAAAGTTTCAGCTGTAGTTACTTAAGAAACTGTCGACCTTAGGATACCGCTAGGACCCTCATTTTATTCAGCATCCGCTCGGTCATTTGATATTCCGATGTTCCTGATTGTTTAGTCAATTACCCCTTATTTTATGTATGTTGTCGTACATCTCAGCTAGATAGAAGAAGCAGAGACCTCCACATAAGCAGGCACGCAGCAAAGGTTCGATACAAGTCATTACGTTGGACCCGCAGGTTCGACAGAAACCTATTGACTAATATTGGATGTTGCTCCACAGGTTGAACGAAACGCCTCTCAACCTCCTCCCGAATTCGTTTCCCTCCTTTCTCGCGTGCAAGTGACCTCCTATTTAGGCTGGTATGCAATCGAGTCTTCGCAATCTGGACTCATGCAATCCCAGGTTTTCTTCGGTGTACCGGGAGACACTGAGGACCAGTGGCATGAGTTGGTGGTTTCGGTTGGCTCTCGAACACACATCTGTATATGGAGTCAATTTGAAGTTATATAACTTTACTGGAACCAGCAGGCTTACCTTGAGGAGCTGTGATAGACAAAACAAGTAATAAAGTATCCAAGGTTATTATTTGTTTGTATCGTCAGAATTTTTGCGATCCTAGGCTCAGGTTCTCGAAATTGGGAAGTGGGTGAGATGCGGAGGAGTGGTAGAAACCACGATATTTATACTTTAATCATGAATAAAGTACCTTTATGAATCTAGCTCGAAAGGGTCACCAGCAAAAAATCAAATTAGGTTATCTTCCAATCCTACTGTCCTAGAGACACGCATCGTGGGTGAGGCGGGGAGTTTCGTCATTTGCAGCTCTTCTGGGCCGAGTCGCTTCTAACATTAGCAAATCATCTCTCTCAGCAAATGTGGTAGAAGGACGATACTCGTGGCACCATCTCACTTGAGTCTGAGTACGAGGCCCGAGCGATATCAGCACAGCAGACCAGGAGGAACTCAAAATCATGTCATTGGTGATACCTAAGCGCCGATGAACTTTGATTGTCAAGAGTCAACGAAAGAAGCCTGCAGGCGCCAGAAAGCGTCCGAGATTGCAGCAAACGACACATGATTTCCTGGCATGTTGTCCATCCGGGCGCTGCTGGGATGTGGGGCAACGCTGGACTTTGTGGAGTAGATAGTCTCTGATCTCTATGATGCTGAGTAGAACCTTGTCATTCAACAGTGGACCCCCCTGTTAATAGCAATCTATATACGGCCGCTGGGAGAAACTTAGCTAGGTCGCACTGCGCGAGATATGGTCGAGAAAAGACCTACCAGATTATGCTTCTCACTTTCGATGGGAAGTTCAAATCCCCGCGTCCAACACAGCTTTGGAAGTCAAAGCATCTGTTTCCAGCTGAAGTGGGGTTGTGCTTGGACTCTTCAAACTGCGCAATATGATTGGGAAGAAATGAAGATAGAGTTTGTGCCGGCGGCTAGTCTTTGGAAGCGATCTGATCCCGGATCGGCACAACAGGAACAGAATTGAGGCTCGTAAGCTGCCTGAACGGCCAATGAGATGAAATAATTGGAAATAATTGGTCTCCACAACAGTCGGCACTTGTGACGCAAGGGGTCAGGAATAGAATCGTCAAGTTCGCAGACAACCCAAGGTCGGTTGGTCTCGCATCCTGTAGTTCCGAAATCTGTGCTCGACGTTGAGGGCTGCACCTAGAATAAAAATCTCCAAAAGATTCCAGCCTCGACGATTTGCTAGGAAATTGCCGCGCAAGCAACATGCTTTCAATGGTTGCCTTTACGATCTAAAAGTCTGCAGAAGATAGCATCGGCACGAGCTTGAAGACAAGCAGCTTAATTCAAAAATCTTCTCTGCTAGCAAACAGACCTACAAGCACCTGAAGCCTAGCGGCTACTTCGGGCACTAGGAGCAAGGCATGAAAGCGAAGTCGGACGACGGAAGCGCTTAATCAAATTTTCATAAGGCTCTTACGCCAAACGTGCACGGTGGACCACACAATGATCACGAATCGGTTTGCCAAAGCCAGCGGGCAGTTTGCCGCAGACCGGAACTGGGGGCAAAATGCCCAGTCCATGAGTAAAATTTGACAATGGCGGCGATTAAACTAGCCCAACGAGCTGAATTGTGTGGATCCGGTCGCACGCCGCCCTCATACCGCAGCAGGCCTCGGACAAATGGATGGCTAGTTTTGACTCAAAGCCGATGCCCGCCAGACTCCACAGGTCGCTCATATTTCATCATCAGCCTTAATGTCACGACAGCTGGACATATTGTCGGCTCGGTAAATCTGCTGTTATAGCATGGCATTTTTCTGAAAGAAATTCAACTTACTGGACTTGGAAGATCTTTGGCGAACAGTGGTGCATTTTCGAGTTCGATAAGAAAGGTAAGGCAGAAGTGCCTTAATTTCGGGCAGCATCGGGTAGTTATGGCCCGCCCCCACCTTTCCCACTCAGGACTGTGACATCAACTCATCGAAATTTCTTTGGAGAGCATCATTTTCTCATCCTACGACCTCTTAGAGACAGACTATGCACAAACCTTTCTGTGTATATAATTGATCCCTCTGATTTCCCTGGACACGGACACGAACACGCAAAAGACGCCGGTTTTCTGGACTGAAGACTCCCTCCAGGCGGCTGCCTGCGGATTCTTCAACCGTTCTAGGCAGTAGGAAGAACGCGAACGAACCTGAAGTCCAGAATTTTCCCAGTGCCAGCGGTCCTGTCTAATGGCGCAGATTATGGGTGCAACAAAGCCAGACTTAGTAAGACTGTCGCGAAGTATAACGGAACTGAAGTTAACCCAAGCAGGAAAGCCGTTGGCAAAACTTCACCACTGTCACGTTCCAAGAGTCCGATAAGAGAGCGGCCCATCAAATCGAGGCGTCGCCTATTGAACGATTTTTCGCCTGCGATTCCTGCGAGGAGATATTGTTTCAGGATGGAGATGGCTCAACCCTATTTCGAACCGAAGGTAGTGGGCAAATGGAACTGCCTCCAGGCATACGCGTCAGGGCAAAGGGCGGATCAACCAAATGTTCATGACCTATAAACTGAATTCACAAAATGGTAACATGATGTCCAGCCAACCGTCACACTGATTACCATGAGTTGCGCCGGAAACACATCCACCTTCAAACACCTCGTCTCGATCTCCCCAGTTTCCTGACTCCACGTCTGACTACTCATGATAGCTTCGAAGACGTCATCGCCAAATACTACCGCAATCTGATTTTTAATTGCGCAGCCCACCGAAAAGGGATCTTTCCCAGTCAGCGCATGTTTACTTGTGATAGCCTGAGCAACCTACCAGCAGCCATTGTGCCAGTCTCTGCGCAACCGAACAACATTCGCAGGATGGTCTGGTCAAACATAGTCATAACCCTGATCAGTCCATCCGTAGATTCTTCTGATGGCAGGAACGCCGTGACATATCCACGAGCGGATTTGGTAAGCAAACGAGGAAACATTGTCTGGCCCGGTTCCTGCTTTATGATCTTAGAATAGCACCACGATGGGCTGCCGTTGAGGGAGTATTGAAGGCTGGGCCGTATTGAACCGTTAACACCTCGTCTCAAACTACCGTAGTCTGTAGTCTTGTTAGCGTCTTCGGGATGAGAACGAGCAGAGTACTTGCTATTTAAGAAATCTTCGTCGACTGATGAGGTTAAAACCACCTTGTTTATTTCCTCACTCTTCATAATAATCTTGACCATAGCTTGGGAAGCAATTATGGCTTGTTCGAGCAATACGTCAAAAAGCTCCTTCCGCATGATATCGACGGCCTTCTGGGTAAGACAGAGACCACAAATGATCAGAGATACAGGATCTAATTCCCTGATAGCTGCAAGTTTCGGTTCGTGCCTCTTCTCAGACTTGAAGACCAGATTAAGCAAATTCGACAATCGCCCCAGCGCACCGCGCGGGAAAGGAAATTCTTTCGCAGGCAACAACAGTTTTGCAGCCTCGGTCTTGAGCAGCCGCTGCTTGAGGGTAGTCAAGGTTTTTTCCAACTCTTCTGGATCTAGCGACTGGGGATTGAAGTCGTCCAGTGAACTGGCTGCCTCGATGTTCGTATCCATGACTAAGAGTTGGTGACGAAGATTGCTAGGAGGAAAGAACCAGAGAATGGTAAATATCTCATAAACGTGCAGAGCTGGGCAAAATGCCCATTTTATGAGTAACATTGGACAAGAGCGGGGTAACTGCCCAATGAAGAGCTGAGCTGGGTGGGCCCATCTCGGGCAACACCGCCCCCATGAGCCTGAGACAAAATGGACTGTGGACTGGGAATCTGTGACACATGCTCTAGGTATGAATATTTTCCCCAATTTTGAGGAGATTTTGACCGTACTAAGGGCTTCCGTACTGTAGTGATGTGCTAACTATGCTCCTCGTTTGATTTGGATTATCATCTTAAGATAGGATCAAGGATCCTATCTCGCAGCACCATTGGTCCAGAGGCCTATGCAAGAGCATCGCTCTGCATCATAGGTAGTCCGTGTGGATTAGACTGGTTCACTTGGACTTCTCTACGACATCTGGAGATACGCGGAATCAGTATAATTTCAGATCTATAAATGGACACCACAAGTAGATAAGGAGGTAGCAAAAAGTTTTTCTACTTGGATTCGAAAGCAACATCTATCCGGATGCTCTACAATGGATGTGATCAATATTTTAACGGCAATTGCTTCCAATTTCCTCTGCTGCATTATACAACCGCCCGAAGCAAACGAATCCTTCGCGCCTTGCTCACCATCGCCCGTATACAATAGATCACAGCCGCGCGTGATATCAGTGCAGGAATTAGAAGATATGCGAGTCAGTGACCAATCCTACGAGCCACTCTCGCGCACTGACAGAGAACTAGAATGTTGTTCTTCCAATCGATGAGACGCGGACTATGATGCTTTTTTCTCGGGAAGCCAGAGACTTGGACAGAGAAATCCTTGTTAGACATACTTGCTTGTATTTTGAGCACTACATGGTTCCTAAGGTGGAGTTAAAACAATCGGAATGGGGAAGGCACATCTTGGAGGACTGGGAAGAGAAGAAGAAACGCCTATGTCTCGACAAGAACGTGGACGGCCACGCTTGGGGTCAATTCCCAGACAGGGCTAGGAAGTGGATACTCGCTGCATGCGCAGGATGATACATTAGCTTCTCTTTCTAGGTTTATTTTGATGGTCAGAATGCATATGGAAAGATCGGCTGTGAGGACCTGAGTCCTACCTAGAGCACATTCTACGAAAGAAGCAGGAAGATAGCAAAAGTACCGGTCGTCAGAGGCTTCTTGAGACATAAAAAGGCAGATCTAGTCCATCATACTTTTGGCAGACAGTTCCTCCCCTTCCTCCTTCCTGACTTGCCATCAAGCTTTCCTAGGACAACATGTCGACATCAATCCTGCAGAGACAAAACGACGCCCTGAAACAGGTTATCAAGAATTCCACAATCCGGGTCATTTGCCCCATCTGTTTTCAAGGGTTTCCACGCAACGATAAATTATACAAACACTTCCGTAAGCAGGAAGATGACACTCATCAGGGTCTGGATAAGAGGACAACGGACTTCCAGACGTTCCTATCCTGCTATCAAGTGTCTCTCGGGGCCTTTATACCTGCTGAAAGCATTTCAAACAACCCTAGGTGTTTTGACACTTTGTTTGTGATCGAGAACTTGGGAAACGGCACGGAAGAAAGTCAATTTTTTTTACCTCCAGTCAGTAACTAATCCAGATAATCTTTACTCTGTGAGTATCTACTTACCACTCTACTAGAGTCCGTGATAGACCGATAAATTCTTTGAAGTTGAATACGCTCATTCGCCCAGTTAGTGTGGAGTGGGAAGAATTCAGCTCGTGTCTTGCGTACTTTGAGGTCAACAGGCGCTGGTGACCAGGCAACTCTGCATAGCTCGATTCAAAGGCCAAGGACGGTGTAACTGGAGTGAGATCTAGAATGTGTTTTAAGCTCAAAACCATGGCACCCCAAAAATTGTTCTGAGAGTTCTTAGGCATAGGAGTGGTTGGTGCCCGTCGATGACGGATCCAAACGGCTCGTGGACTGGCTGGATTAAATAATTGAATTATACTGCAGAAAATCTAATGTCACCACTCTAGAACCGTTCTTTCAGTGTTCGGCCATCAAATACCCAGCATGTGCTACTCTCCAGGAAGCACGCTCTCATTGACGCTGGTGATAATCCCAGAAATGTAACTCGATATCAGATAACAGCCCCAGAAGCTCCGTCATAAAAGCAGCTCCTGTTAATTGCTTGCTCACTCTATCGTTGTAAAGTCTGCAAAGAATGTCGCACATTGCGTTGAATTCGTAGAAATTCTCGATAGAGCGTACGAGGCGATAGCGAGTTTCTCGGGAGGGTTCTTGGGCAAGCGCATCAAAGTGCCAATAGACAAGTGACAGCATGAGGAGGTCTTTATCTGAAAGTTCGTTCTGAACGATATAGGCGAATCCGTCGAGCAACAAGTGGATTGGTGTGATGTTGTGAGAGTCCAGGGATCTTCCAACGAAGGCCTGGATCGTTAATCTTGCCGGGTTATACAGGATGAACCTAGGCAGAGAGACCACAGTCTCCTGCTATGCTAATTAGTAGGGCGTAGGAAAGTGCAATTCATTCACTTACAATGCATATTTGACACATGATGTGCGGTCGAGAAACGTGCTAGGTTCTGCGAAGAGTTCGAGATGGCGGGTGGCATCCGGAACTTCGAAGGGGAGGTAGCTTCTGTAACCCACCCATTTATGCTCGCTGGAACTTCGGGCTGCCCCCTAATTGATCAACGCTTCACAGATATTGGTGTCTTGAAACTATACTGTATAGATATTCACTCGCTTGCGCTCACCCAAAGTTGGTTCTTGACTAGATATTAGCTTCAACTTTATTAGGGGACTTTAGGAACTGGCCCACGCAATGGCAAATGACGCCAGGATCTGGGCCAAGGTCTGTCCCCTGAGGCGAAGGCGTTGAATGAGGAGTAGCGCGAGGGGTCGCCGCAAGTCCGTCCTTTCCGTCGTACGGGCCCTTGATACGGAGTCTTTCAATACACCATAATATGGCAAGAGTGGAGCAGCCAAAATGTTTTGCTTCTGTCGCCACGATTCCAGTAGGAAGGCGGCCAGACGTCGAGGTAGAGAGGGGTTCAGCATAGGATAGGACCTGCTTTGTCTTTAATATCCGTTCCAAGATAAAGCTCCCACTAGGACCCGGTCAGCATACATCACTTCATCCCAACCTCGATCGTAGACTGCGAGCGGTCCCAGTTCAACGTACGCATTTTGCATTGCCCCTTGCCTAGCAAAGACAATCCGTCGAAACAAAATCTGACTATAAGTAGATGCATCTTGTTGATCTGCCAACAGAGTTAGTCCTCTGCATAGCAGAAAATCTTGACCGGGCTAGGGATATTCTCGCGCTGGCAAGGACCAACCAACGGACACTCCAAATCGCTCTTCAAGTTCTCTACAGATTCAATGTCCGGTACCAAAATAGTTCTGCGTTGCATTGGGCGGCTGAGAGAGGAGTAGCCAAGTTGGTCCATACTTTTCTCTGCCTGTGCCCAGAAGCCGTCAACGCAGTCCATGAGAATATTACACCGCTTATATCTGCAGCCATCCATGGATCGGAATCTGTCATTGAGATCCTTATTAGGGCCGGGGCTTCCCTTAACTTCCCTGACGGCACAGGACGGACCGCACTGTGGTATGCAGCCTTCAAGGGACACGCGCGTATTGTCAATCGGCTTCTCGCCAGAGAACACATTGAGGTTGACTGTCGAGGTACACTGTGTGGACTCACACCCCTGGCTGCAGCTGCGTGGAATGGATATGAACAGATCACCGAGAGTCTGATAGCCACAGGTCAAGTTAACATCAATTCAAGAGAGATGCAAGGCTTGACACCGTTATTCCTGGCTATAGTCTTCCAGCATGAGGAGATCGTGAAGATTTTGCTGTCTAAGGAGACTATCAAGATCGAATGTCGAGACCGCAAAGGACGAACTCCACTCCATTATGCTGCAAGTCGAGGTCAACTTTCGATGGCGAGAATGTTGCTGCAGAAGGGAGCTGATGCGAACGCGAAAGACAATACCGAAGAGACACCTCTAGACAAGGCAATAGTTTGGAGACACGAAATTATGGTCAAGGCCATCTTGGAACAATCAAACAGAGTCAGTTCGTCAGTTGACTCCGAACAAAATCAGGGTCGGGCCAAGTCGCTTTTTCTTGCCACTGTGAGAGGATTTACTGGAATAGTTCAGCTATTGCTCGACCATGGATTTAATGCGAATGTCAGGAATCACTATGGCCGAACTCCATTGCATTTAGCGGCTGCGAATGGAGACTTAGGGGCGGTGAAGGTGCTGCTTGGCCATCAGGATATCGATGTCAATGCACAAGATCATTATGAGGAGACCGCGCTGCACCTCGCGGCGAAGGAAGGCCACACAGCCATACTTAAAGAGCTGGTTGCCATGCCACAGGCAGATATCAACCGACGTAACAGAAGCGGGGCGACAGCTCTATGGTTAGCAACTCGACGTGGGCATGAAGAAGTAGCCATCCAGCTGCTTTCCCAGCCTGACGTGGATGTTAATGCTATTGTCGACACTCATGTGGTCGGCCGAGACCGGTCAACATCCCTTCACCATGCTGTCCAGAGGCCAAGCATGTCTGTTCTAAGGTCGCTCATTCGGACGAGACAGCTTGATCCGAACATCACCGATCACCAGAATCGGACAGCACTCAGCTGGGCAGTTGAGAGCGGAGACTTGGGCATTATTGATCTGCTTCTCACAAGACCAGATATCCGAGTTGATCCCACGGGTATTCATGAGGACCCTATACTGTGGCTTGCTATAAAAAATGGTCGAGTTGAGGTGGTTCGCAGGTTGCTCCAGTGCCCAAATGTTGATCTTAACCATGGATGGGGTAGGTACGAGCCGCCGCTGCTATTCTCCATCTGGAAGGGCCATGCGGAAATCACAATCTTGCTTCTTGCCCAGGGTGAGAGACTAGACGTCAATAGAAGAAATACGCGGGGAGAAGCAGCTTTGACATTGGCTGTACGCAGAGGTTTTCTTAGAGTGGTCGACAGAATCCTCCAGCACTCTCAGGTTGAGGTCAACAGCATTGATAATCAAGGTCGGACTGCACTTTGGTGGGCGGCATCAGAGGGGAATTTCGAAATGGTGTTGCGGTTGCTCGCAGACTGCCGCATCCAAGTTGACATTGAGGATAATGCAAAGGAAAGTCCTCTCATGGTCGCTAGACGTTGGGGTCATACCAAAGTTGCGCTTCAGCTTCAGCTTCACATGGGCTTGTGACTCGAGTTCAGCCAACTTGCCTTGCGACATTATTCTATGAACTATGTCGAGTGATAACATCTAATAGCATCTTCCACGCGTGCAATTTCGGTGTACCCCAGCACAGTCTCGTAGTAAACTCAACTTTTCTCCTCTTGATATTGATCATGATCTATCCGCAGAGGGATGACCTGAGGAGCCTAGCCTCTCTTATACCTGGACGAGGGGCTATAAGGGCGTTCTCTAGGACTAAAGCATCTGTCCAAAACGATGCTCGTGAAAGGACGGTGTGATAAGATATTCCGCTCTTGTCGTGTCGATTTCCCAGCAAATTGCCGCGGAAATCGGCAGGCGGTCAAGGATTCTCCCAGTGTTGCTGGGTAGATCCGATCCTAATCCCCAAGGAACCTTTTGACCCACAGTCATAATGGGGATCTGCTTTATTGGTTCAAGGCTTCTTGCTGCTTCAGCCACGTCGCTCAAGAGCGCTTATTGCAAACATTCACCCCCCGAAACGTAGGACGTCCAGCGGAACCCAAGAAAAGCAAGCCTGGCTTGCCTCGTCAACCCATTCCCTCATGGCTAAGCAAGGCTGACTTCCCAGGCAGCTGATTAATAAACTGAGCTACGAAGTCTTCGTACGGGCACCAAGACGAAAATGCCAACTATTTTCTTTTGCGCAAGCAAGGACTTGAACTGATTTCGCGCAAGGGAAGTATTACGGTGTGAGATAGTTGAGCTTGTACTATATGCTAAGTTCTCGCGCTTTAATTCTTGTCTTGGACAATTCTGAGAATGCCTTGGGAAGGAAATGAAACCCTCTTGTCCTGAAATCGCATCAATTGGTTCTCATTGGCTCTGGACAGAGGCCTTTCGAAGTTGCCCAGCACGAATTCTCGAGTGAAGAAAGCAGCGACGCAAAAGTCTGTCTTAGATTGGGATATAGATTGGGATATTCTTTGTTCTCAGTCAACCCAGGGCCGGGTCAGGTGCAAAGACTTAGATTGAATATGTCCAGCAAAGAGAAAAGAAAATCGACCGTGGAACCAGAGGGCGATGGTTGCACAGCGACATAAGGAATGATGTTCGCAATTTAGATACGGCGGGTGTTACCACTTCCTGGTGATGAGTTGGAGGCCATGTTTGCGTCCCACCCTAGCTCAGCAGACTCAAAGAACGTCCGGCCTGGAGCGCCAGCATGCTTCTTGTACACACGTGTTATGACGGAGTCACTCGACACAGGTTACGGGGGTTTGGGGCGCGTGGTCCCGTCCTGACGCGTGAGCTCGCCGCTCTCATCCCGTGAGATGACGGGTTTAACAATATCTGTCCCTGATAATCTCCGTAACCTTATCCGCCTTATTTCCAAGTCATCATCCAGCTCGGCAAGTCGTTTTCTTGGTCGCTCCAGGAAGGCATAGCGCAACCCCAATTTTAAGGCTAAAGCCATTAGGCATCGGCGAGGATAAGCGGCCACGGCAATATCTAAGTCAGCGAATTCGGTACGGTCGGTTTTGCCAGAGGCGCTTCGCTGTCATCGTTCCCAGCCGGATACGGAATAGTGTTTCGAGAGGCGAACGAGAGCGGGAACTTTGATAATAGTCAACAAATTTAATTAACCAAGAAGAATAGAGACCAACTGTTGGAAGTCGATTGCCATAATTCTCTCACGGCGTGCGGAAAGTCGGGGAAATGATAGAAAGCAATGTGTCGTGGACGGAAACAAGGGCGGAGATGGTTCGATGAGATCTCTAACAATTTGCGTAGGAGATTGAGTTGGATTGCTGTAGTACTGGAGAGGGAGGACTGCAGCTCTTCGAATTGGCATCGAAAATGGTCAACCTGGATGTTGGCTTCCTGTTGGCAAGACGTAAACTGGCTCTGAGCGTCCTTGACCCCTTTTCTGAGCTCCTTCCAGTCCTGTTTGACATCGTCCAAACGCTCGGATAACCCAGTGAGAGCTTCTTTAGCTCCGTGCTCAAATCCGTCCATCCACTGTTCTGATATCCTACCTCATTCCATTCATTTGGATCGACCAAGAACCGTGATCGCCGTACAGGTGGCCGGTATAAACACTCACTACGCCGATCGAAGCGTCCGGGAAGGGGGATCATTCAGATACTTTCGAGTTCCGGCAGCGATATATCTGGTGATTGATGTGATGCTTTCTTGCAGGGTCTCGGGGAGCATGGAGGGAATCTGAGTTCGGAGGTCGCGCCATTGGTCTTTAGGTTCTAGTGGATGATGGCAATCGCGGAGAAGATATCGTAAACAGCCATTAGAAGATCAGCGACGACAGGCAAGATTTAAGAAGACCAAAGTTTCTGACATCAGAGTGAAAGGAGACGTTGAGGGGATGAGTTCATTAGGCATCCATGCTCACCTAAGACAGCCATTAATCACGAGATTCTTCACCCGTCATAACAAAGACTATCAAGCATTAACCTATTTAGTACTAGCCCGTGGCCAGGTGATGCGCTAAGCCCCATCTGTCGACTTCATGTCGAGAGACATTTAATAGAATAATAGCAAAATTGCCTGGGAAGTAGTCCACAGTCCACAGAAGTCTTCAACAACTGAAACACGAGTACCGCTGTGCCAGAGAGGTTGAAGTCCTGATCCCCGAACTTCAAACGTTCAGCGGAACTATGTCTGGATTGAACAGAGCTGAAGCAAATTCCACGAGGTTTGAGATTCGGAATTATGTGTATAATGTAGCATTACATAATATTTTCGAGAATAACTTGACTAACTACGGCTTGCATCTTCCCCATGCTTACGTGCGACACCTTCCGGGATCGCAAGGATGGCCCGCTTCTTGAGTGTTCAGCTCACTTTCAACCACCATGTTCAACCCTCAAGTTTTGCTCCCTGAGCACTCTCTTTTTCTCTCCCTTCAGTTTTCTGAGGGGCCAGATTCTCCCATAAAAAGCGATCGCTTCCCTCCTGTTCCACAATGTTCTCCGTCAACCAGCCAATTTGGTTTCATCTCAGGAAACGCCTTAAAAGGAACTTATTCTTCCTTTCAAATGCTCTCTTTGGTCTTCCTCAACCGGTCTCCTCTAGTACCTCTCGATTCCTATTGTGACTGTTCTCGCGACAATGACCTCTGCCTGGATCAGCTTGAAGGTAAGTTCGGCCTTCTGCATTCCTCATCAACTTACAATTTCCCGATAGAAACCCCCTTTATATGGGAACGGTCAAAGCAGTTATCGGAATCTGCCAGAGGCCGAGCGTGCTAATGTAGGACGCCCTGCATCGTCTCTACGATCGGCTGCTGACTCCTTTTCAGCTCGGCCTCAGTCTTGGAAGAGGGTTCAAAACATTAGGTGGATTGCAAATCATGCAGATAAATGAGGCATTGACAATTATTCTTAGGGTAGGTTTATGTCAGTCATACACGCTGCAGAGGAATTCCGAAACTGTATTTGAAGAGAGCCTTCCCGTGGACTCTACAGCTGCGCGAGTATTTTATCTTTGGGTGGCATTCAAGGTAAGTATAAGGAAACCCCTCTCGCTAGACAAATAATATATTTATTGATCCTCTCATCTCAATAGGAATCCTACTCCGATAACGTTCTACCCGGCCCCGCGCTTCTCACGGAGGAAGAGCTCGGTGAGGTTTGTAATGAACTCGTAAGGGTTGCTGGTTGCGGATACTCATGTCTCTAGCTTGCTCAGCGCATTGGGGAAGATCTGGACATATTACGGTCATTGGATGAAGATCAAATGAAAGATGTTCTCAATAGGATCTACAAGGCGAGATATTTGCACGATTATACTATATTGCCAGCTATTGATTTTGGTAAGTAACACACCAGCAGCGTTGCCAGTTCTTGCATTCGACTCCACGGTAATATTGGCGGTAATGGAAACTGACCATTCAATGCTATTCAGTGAACATCGATCTCGACGCTCCTATCACCGGTTCTAACGACTCTGCCAACGCTGCCAACGAGCACCCAACACCGGTAAATTTCGACGACTTCCTTATATCAGACGGACCCGAGACGGAAGCGGGAAACCGAGATATATTAGGGATACCGAACAATACTACGCATACTGAAAATACCCCTGAAGTCGCTGAAAGTGAGAGGGTTATGAGTTTCGAGACATCCTCTACGGAAATTAACGCAGTCTCTTGCTATCCTACCCCCTCTAGCGATGGCCTTGACTCTCCCCGACCGCAGAAAATGCCTACACGCTCTGATTTTCCGCGGACCTCCGATCACAGGCGAGTAAATGGTAGGAATATCCAAAGGCAAAGGAAGAAAGCCGGAGCAAGGATAAAGTTGGATCCGATTGCTAAAGCCCTATTGAAGGGTTACAACTCCGAGCTTAATGACGAAGCTATTAGAAAAGTCCTTACAGCGGAAGCTTGTTTTCTCCCCCCAAATCTTCAGACATTAAGATCTCTTTCAGATCAATGGCATAACAATGTGTCGCAGGGCCGGCATGCACTTGGCCTTCCCACGGAGTGGGTAGGCATACAGGCGGCATGGAACTATGTGAAAGAGCTGGAAGCCAAAACTCTTGATCCTGTGGCGGAGAATGTTGCATATCTTCTGTTCCATTTCAACTACAAAGAGCTCTGCAAGCGCCCCAAGAAATATTGTCCCCGTCCTCCCAACACGCACGAGAGGTCCACAACCCATGTCCTTAACTGCATCATCGAGGCGGCATACCCTGATGACGGTTTCCGAGGGTTAGAAGGTGAACAACTTCGCAGACAGTTAGGTTATATCATTCGAAAGGGCCAGTGGTGTTGGCAAGTCGTGGCGAGCCTAGGTTCTGGGGTATTGCTCAGAGGCGAATGGTTGGATAAGATGTATGTCTTTACTTGTTCAGCACTCCCTCTCACTAATCCTGGAATATAGGTATAATGAAACATTCTCGGCTGCATGCGTAGATGCGCTTGTCACTTATATTTCAAATGTTCGCCCGGGGACTACTCGCCTGTTTCGCTCGTTGGAGCCAACCATGAAAACCCTCATGTTTGGGCGCCTTCCCGATTTCATTAAAGTCTTTCGAACTAGTGGAAATGACCTTCAAGATCAGCTCTGTACAGCATCTACTGAGGATGAGAAAGCTTGGGCGACCCAAGTAACGGAGAGTAGATGGGACCAAATTAACGCCAGACAGATTGCAAAGGAGAGAATCTCTGACTTTTCCTACCTAACCCAGAGGTCTGTTTTGTCATGAACTTTCCCTCTTGTATCGTTAGTGTGCTGGTTTGCAAGCTCAATATTCATTAGCAGTTCACTTTTCATATTGATTTTAGGATGGGAAGTTCCATCTGTTCTACGATGGCCTGATTTCAACTTGGGTGACCAAACGCTTTCCTCTCGCCGGGGAGCTTGGGACTCCATTGGATAAACGTAATTCCGAACCGCGTTATGGGTCACTCTTTATAGTGCTGATTGGTTGAAATCGATTGGTGCCTGACTACTTATTACGGATCCCCAGCGAGACTGGAAGGATGAAGCGAGACAAGAGTTGCCAAAAATCTTTGGTGGTTAGACCATGGGTTTAATTCGCGTGAGGGCCGAGCCATATTTGTGAAAAGCTGCCAGCATCGGATATCTTGAGTTGTAGATATTAAAGTAGATGGGACCTAATCAACGCCAGACAGATAGCGAAGGAGAGGATATTCATCTTCCATGCCTGGTCCAGAGCTCGGTTCTTTTACAATGGTTGAATTTCAGCTTGCTGATCCAATGCTTTCCTCTCAATAAGGAGATGGGAGTGTCGTGCTTCGGATTCTCTCGGATTAATGTAGTTCCGAACCGCCAGTGAGTCACTCGATAGAGTTGATTAGGTGAAGTTGAATGGTGCCTGGCGGTTCCTTGGGGATCCCCGACGAGATTAGAATGACGTAACAAGACAAGAGTTTCCACCTAAAGCCTTCTTTGGTGGTTAAACCATAGGTTCAATTGGTGTTAAGGTTGAATCATATTTGTGAAAACCAATCAGCGTCAGATTATGTCGAGTTGTAGATATCAACCCCTATATTAGATCACGTCGAGACTAAAACCGGGGTCCGCCAGTGTTACAGTATGAAGGCAGTCTCTCAATAGAGATTATGATCTAAAAAAGGAAAAAGAATCCCACAATTATGCCTCATAGTGTGCTCTTTCCTGGCTCGTCCTCTATTTGACTACGTGAAGGACATCCGCCACAATCAGGGAAAATATCCCCCACTGTCAACCGGATTGGATTGGGGAAACATCCCCCCTGGTCCTGTTAATACCGCACTGTAAGAATATGGGAAAGATGACATCCAACTTACCAAGTCTGATATCGTGCTAATCCAGTCGGCCCGCGCGGACGAATCGAAGATATATATCTGACCGGTTTTCCGGATCCGAACGGCAACAAAAATATCTGACTCGCATTCAAGGCTGAATTCTGCAGCTTTTTTAAATATTCCCTTCCTCCTCTTGTAGAGCTGGTGAGACTTTGCCTGAGCAGTTTCTAACCGGCGCTTTTTCGCCCATGGTGCTTTCCGGGCCATGGCGTGTGATCTCCAGTGCTGTTAATTTTCGTGGAGACAGATCCTCCAAATGCGAGATAATGACTCCTTAAGTAGGTTTCACAACGAGCCCTTGAATCCTTCACAGTGCGAAGAGATGGAATTCCCCAGCGAGCTGTCGCCGCAGTGAGGTCGTTCCCCGGTAAGGCCTTATATGGGATCACTATAAGTTCTCCTTCCAAGACCCTCACTTTGAACCGCATCTACTTCTTTATTCATTTCCTTTGCTTGCCCAAGATGGATGCCTTGATATTTTATGCGATTGCTGCTGGCGGCATATTTGCCTTATTTTTCCTAGTCAGGTTTCTGGTGTTTCTCTCCAATAGGACTCATTTATTCACCATTCCTGTATCACGACATTTTACTCTCCCTGTGCTTGTTGCTCAGCACCGATTCCTTGGTCCTTGGACAAGGGCCGAAGTTTTCCTCTATATAACATATATTGTGATCAATATCTTCCTGGTCTTTTTTCGGGCGGGGGCGATGACTGATATCAGCCGTCGGGCAGGGACCCTGGCTCTCATCAATTTGATCTTCCCTCTATCAACGATCCACATCAGCTCCTTGGCTGATCTCCTCGGCATTTACTTACAGACCTGCCAAAAGATCCACCGCGCGACCAGCTGGATGGTTATTGTCTTAATCTCTGTCCACATTGTTATGAGCCTGGCCAAGGGGCCCCAGTTTCTGCTTTCCGAGTCACGAAACCTCTATACTACGATTGTAAGTCTCGAGGACCAGAGAGTTACGGTCATGCTAACATTGGCAGGGTGCTGGATCTTTAGGCGCTTTGACTCTCCTTTCCCTTCCTTTGTGTCGCCGTTGGTCATACGAGGTCTTCCTCCGGGGACATCAGGCTCTGGTAGGGCTTTTTGTCTACGGCGTTTGGCGCCATCTCCCCATTCGGGATCGTCTTCCCGGAGTGTACCTCACTGTTGCCCTAGCACTCCTTGGGCTGAATCTCGTTGTACCGCTGCTCTTTTTCCTCTATCGAAACGGCCTGCTTGCGGGTCGCGGTGCTCCAAGAGCGATATTGTCATATGCATACCAAGGGGCTACCAAGGAGGGCGGTGATGATGGCACCGTGTCCGCTATCAGGGTCCGTTTGAGCTTGCCTCGGCCGCTCAAAGTGGACGCTGGTCAATACATCAACCTCTGGATCCCAGGGGTCGGTCTAGGCGCATGGACACAGACACATCCTTTTGCGGTCACCTCGTGGTCCCGGGGTAATCAGAATACCTTTGAGCTTTTGGTGTGGCCGCGTCAAGGCCTTTCTAAAGACCTCCTCCGTCATGTCCAAGCAGTTCCAGACAGTTCAATTTCGTTCTTGGCGTTATTCTCCGGCCCGCACGGAATTAGCGAGGACGTCAGTCATTGCGAAAGTGCTCTCGTCGTCGCCAGTGGTGTTGGGATTGCGGCCGTGATTCCGTATGTCAAGAAAATGATCTATGGTTATAATACTTGTACGTCCCAGGTTCGCCGTGTGCATTTGGTGTGGCAGGTGGAGTCCAAGGGTGAGCCCAGTCCCCCAATCATTGCCCTAGAAAGCTGCTAACTAGCTAGATGTGGCTATCTCGGCGCAGGAACAACTTAATCGACTGCTGGAAGATGATACCGTGGATGATGGCTACGTTAGTGTTCCCGATTCGCAGCGCAACTCCAGGAAAGCTGACGAAGACTGAATACCCAGATACTCCATATCTCCATCTACGTGGAACGTGGTCTCAAACGCGATCAGCAACAATTAGGGAAGCACAAAAGGGCATGTCTTTACCAGGGAGTACCACATTATGAAAGTCTTGTCGCGCTGGAGTCGTCCGGCGAGCTGATTGAGCGACTGCCTAATATCCGAGATGAGCAAGGCCAGCTACAGGTTCTGGGTAAGTCTGCCAGGAACTACCATGTCAAGATGGATGTTGAACCAGCCACTTTAGTCTCCACAACTGATACGATACGTTTTCGCCTGCGGGAGATCGTACGACAATACCTCCACGAGCGAGTCAAACTTTCTGAGCTGGAGTATCAACCGAGAGGTTGAATGAATATGCCAGGAATTCAGTTCATTGTTCATAGGTAAATTACGCGAATATGGGCACTTTTCTGAGCCTTGTAGATAAAATACAGAAGAATTTGAGTTGGTATATGACGACTGGATTCCTGTGCCTGCCAAGAGTGAAAGGAGCCATTCGGGACAGACTCTGGTAACTTGCGACCGACAAAATACTCTTTTATTCATTTTTGATAGTTTGGCTCGCTGAAATTAATTGCGGATCCATATCGCCTGGAGTTGCGCTGCGGATAAAATACGTATGAATTGGGTTGGTATATTACGGCTAAGTTCCTGTGCCTGCCAAGAGTGAACGGAGCAGTTGGAGGCAGACTCCGGTAACTTACAACTAACAAAATGCTTTATTCATTTTTGTTAATCAGGCTAGCTGAAATAAACTGCGGATCCAAATCAACTACTATGGGTGTACTTTGGCTTGGAGATCTCCTCAGAATTTTAACCCAGTTGAAAATTTGAGCGGGTCAACGTGAAAGCTGGACTCGTAATATTCCGCCCCACAAATGATTTGGAATTCTGATCGTGAGAAAGGCGGCTAGCATTTTTTTTACCGTATCGTTGTACTGGGGTTTCGAGGATTTGTAATAATAATTGACGGCTAGTATTTTTTCCGGCTTCCCTGTCGCTTTGTCCATTGCTGCTTGCCTTGCACCACCATCTTGAATCACAGGGAAAGGGCCATGATTGTCCTCAAGCTCTCCATGGCCCTTGAGTGTTACTCTCTGAGCACTCGTTTTTTACTCTTCAGTTTTCTGAGAAGCTGCATTCAGCTCCCTTATAGAGGCGATTGCTTTCCTCTATCTGTTCCACGATGTGTGCCATCAACCAGCTGGTTCAGCTTTATCTTCGAGCCTACACTTTGAAGGAGGCCAGCACTCCCCTCAACCGATTTATTCTTAGTTCTGCTGCAGTCGGTTCCCACCTTCCTGGTATATCTTAGTGTTCTTGCCTCTCGTCCCACGAGAATGAAACAATTGACAGTCCACCTTGAGGTAAGTTCGTGCCTTTTGTGCTCATCTATAACTCACCATGTTTTCGGCAGCAAGGTTATATAAATGAGAACGGTCAGACTTGTTACCAAACTTTAACTGAGGACCAGTGTGCTGGCGTAAGATGTTCTGGATTGTCGAGATGTCCTTCGAGTTTACTGCTGACTTGTTCGCAGCTCGCCGGCCAGATGGGAAAGAGTTTTAAAACACTGAGCAGAATCGATAGTCTGCAAATTGATAGTGTTTTGAAGAGGATTCTTCGGGTGAAGTTGATTCACTCATACGAGCTCTGGAAAGATTCCAACCTTTTGTGCCAGAGGGCCTTTCCAGCGAATCCTGCATCTATTACTACGAAAACTTTTAGTCTGACGGTCGCTTTTGAGGTAGGAGTGACGAATCGTCCTAAATGGTATCTTCAATGATTCATTCTCACATCGACAGGAATCATTCTCTAAGAATATTCCACCTGGCCCTTTGATTCTGGAAGACGGAAAGCTTGCTAAGGTTTGTCATTGATCCCCGAAGGTTGCTCATCATGCATGCTTATTCCTTTAGCTTGCTCACCGCTTCTGGGAGGAGTTAGAGATGATAAGATCACTCGATGAAAGACAAATAAACGATGTCTTGAGGAGGATCTGCGACATCGGATGTTTACAGCTGTATTATGTCTGGCTAGTTCCAGGTGAAGTGCCCTTCTGCAGTACTGCTAGTTCCGCCATTCCGCCCACGATCATGTTGCGTCAATGGAAACTAACACTTAGCTTCTTACTCTAGCAACCATCGATGATGACACTCTATCATCTGGTCTCGACAAACCTGCCAGCAGTACGAATGAACCCCCGAAACGAACGAATTTCGAGGCTGAAGGCAAGCTCAACAACCGTCCTGCGACGGAGCCGCCCCAGCAAAAAACTTCGGACCCCACTCATAGTGATAAACGTTCTGGTATTACATCCGAAGCCCCTGGAACAGAGACTGTGGCATGCCCTGTGTCAACTTCTCCGGCGATCGACGATGGAGCCGAAGCCTACCCTACACCCCTGTTGGATTGTGTCGACTCAACTCAACTAAAGAGGTGGAATCTCTCTGTTTCTCCGCCCTCACCCACCCGAAAAAAACCACGGCAAAGGGAACAAGCTAGGGCGATAATAAGGTCAAATCCGACCGCTGAAAGTCTAATGAAGGGCTGCAACTTCAACGGAAAATATCTCGGAGACGACGGGATCAGAAAGGTCCTCAAGGCGGATGCTTACCTTCTCCCCCCGGATCCCCAGATGTTGAGATATCTTTCAGATCAATGGCATAATAATCTGTCGCAGGGCCGGCATGCTCTGGGTCTCCCCAAGGAGTGGATAGGTATACAGGCCGCATGGAACTACATATGCGAACTTGAAACCGGCAACCTTGATCCTGTCGCGGAGAATGTTGCATATATGTTGTACCATATTAACTACAGTGAGCTCTGCCAGCATCCTGAGAAGTACTGTCCGCGTGCTTGCAAGGATGGGAAAAGGAACCCAACTTGGGTGCTCGACTGTATCATTGAAGCTGCATACCCTGATGACTGGAGTCGAAGGTTGAACGGCCCTCAACTTCGCAGTAATATCAGTAACATCTACAAGCGAAAGGCTCAGTGGTGTTGGGAAGTCGTGGCGAGCCTAGGCGCGGGGGTATTATTCAGAGGCGAATGGCTGAATAAGTTGTACGTCTTCAATCGTTCGTCACTCCCGCTTACTAATCTGGAATAGATATGATGAAACATTCTCAGCCGTACGCGTAAATGCGCTTGTCACTTATATTTCAAACACTCGGCCGGGGACAGCTCGCCTCTTTCGCTCGTTAGAGCCAGCCATGAAAACTCTTNTCGCGGAGAATGTTGCATATATGTTGTACCATATTAACTACAGTGAGCTCTGCCAGCATCCTGAGAAGTACTGTCCGCGTGCTTGCAAGGATGGGAAAAGGAACCAAACTTGGGTGCTCGACTGTATCATTGAAGCAGCATACCCTGATGAAAGGAGTCGAAGGTTGAAAGGACCTCAACTTCGCAGTAAAATCAGAAACATATACAAGCGAAAGGCTCAGTGGTGTTGGGAAGTCGTGGCGAGCATAGGCGCAGGAGTATTATTCAGAGGCGAATGGCTGAATAAGTTGTACGTCTACAATCGTTCGTCACTCCCGCTTACTAATATAGAATAGATATGATGAAACATTCTCAGCCGTACGCGTAAATGCGCTTGTCACATATATTTCAAACACTCGGCCGGGGACAGCTCGCCTCTTTCGCTCGTTAGAGCCAGCCATGAAAACTCTTATGTTTGGGCAACTTCCCGACCTCATCAAAACCTTTCGGGATGGTAGGAGTGATCTTCAAGAGGAACTCTCCAGAGCCTCTACCGAGGATCAGTGCGCTTTAGCGAGCCAATCCACCGAGAGCCAATGGAGCGTAATCAATGCCAAGGAAATTGCGGTGGGAAGAGTCTCTGACTTCCTCCCTATCCAGGCTATCCAGGAAGACATTCACGGCCAGGAAGACATTGCTAACCTGGAGGACTTCAACTTCCAGGAGTACATCAGTATGCAGGACTACTTCACCAACCAGGGAGACTTCCACGTCCCTCTCCAGGAAGACTGAGTCTTTGGCCCGGACCGAGGAGCTTCTCAATTCCAGATCCTGAGTGCAGAAGTCAGTTCCATGAGAATTCGTTGTCACGGTTTTCAGAGTCTTCTTGTTTTAAGATATTTTCCTGATGCTGTTCTGCCAAGGAAAGGCGTGCCATGACCTGAACTTTGCTTTATCAGTGCAGGTTCGATTTTCGGGTAAAAGTAATTCCGAACCACCTCCTTACATTAGTCACCCAATAGCGGATGACGCTGGTTGGTCAAAATTGACCATTGCTCGGCAGGTGTCGCTGGGGATACCCGGCGAGACCCAAAATCCAAAGCTGGGGCCGGATCTCAGTGAGGAGAAAATGCCGCAGTGGGAAGAGGAAAACAGGTCCTCTGGGATACCTTTGATCACTCCTTTGCTTAACCAGTCAAGGCCTTGGAGGATATATCGGTTCGGCTTCAATTTAAGATCAGTTAGAGATTCAATTCCAGGACAGTTTTATGAATCGGGTATTTCTCAATGAATAAAGCTTCTGCTTGCCAATTTTCACTCTAAGAGTGGCTCCAGATTTCTTTTAGCGTTACTGCTTTGTTCTTAAATGTTCTTACCACTTCCAATGCCCCTCGGGTAGACGTTTTTCTCCCCATTTGTCTATGAATTTCATCACTCTTTCCTAAGCTTTCTGCATATTCTTTTGTTCTGGTCGACTCTGTCCTTGACCTACGCTTCCTGCGTTATATGATCGCTCCCTAATCCGTATAGACGAGTAAACGGGCGTCTGAACTGCATTTGAACCCAATTTTGCGTCATACGGCGGCCGGACCGGTTAGATAGGGTAGGTATAAAACGTCTTCGTCGCGATCGGGGCCAGGCGAGCCAAAGCTGCGAGGCCACCCAGCGAATGCTGTTTGGCTACAAACGGATGCTATAACTGTAAGCAATAGCCAATACTACTAGGAAGCCACTCGCCTTCATCAGCACGTCGACAGACTGAGCAGAGGACGTTGCCTCTAAAAATCCAAATGCTTCCGAGTCCAGAGGCCAACGGTCAATGTTGTCAACACCAATTATCCCATCACCCATTTCGTAACTCTGCATGAGTTGCATCATGATGGTAGCCATTGCGTTGATCATGGAACTTTGCGACTGACCAGGGCCGTGCCGAACGCAACGTTCCAATGCCGCTATTGGCTTGTCAGGCATATCCTTCTAAGTGTTGAGCTTGAATATTACCTAGCTTGATTGTTCCATTCTCAGCCAGAAGGATGTTTGAGCACGTCAGGCTAGTATGCTTAAAACCGGCTGTGATCAAGTGATGCACGCCATTAAGGATCTCCAGGTGTTAGCAAAGTCATTCCACACGTAATTACCGTGTAAAGTACCTGGGATATGATCGCACCTAGCATTGCTTGATCAGGGCTGAGACTCACGAGATGTTCCAGAGTGGAGGGACAATATTCCACCAAGGCGAAGAGTCTGCCCCCCTCTCGATAACATTCTTCGGCGGAGAGGACATTTCCATGTTGGGTGGTCCGAAAGAGGCACAGAACGTCTCTAGCGCACTCTGGGGGATACTCTCGGATTGCTTTTAGCCGATAAGGACAAGATTTTTCCACGGCAGTAGTTACTTTGCCGGCAAGCTTGCAGCTGAAGACGGGTTGGAATGTATCCCAGGGAGACTCTTGGTCTCTCAAGATAATAGTTGAACAAATTTCCGAGTTGACGACTTGTGGAAGACCAAATGTTTTGAGTTGACCTTGAATAGTTTTTCTGGGACGATTCGAATCGGGGTGTTTAACTCCCTTGCCTTTCCCAGGTTGCGGGCTAGGTTGCACCTTTGGATGGGGTGGGCTCTGGGGAAGGGTATGATCTTTTGAATTCATTGTGTCTTCTCATCAGTGTATCCTGGAGGGAGACCAAAGAGCGATGGTAGAGCGATGGTAGAGCGATGGTAGAGCGATGGTAGAGCACCTGGCAAAACCTCTTGTTTATACAAATTCCGTGACTGCCTGCCTATTTCTTAGTGAGGTGCAATGGCTATAGGATCGATTTAACCCCAACTCGCTTTTATATTCAGTCATTGTGGTCCCCAGGGAGCCTAGACGTCGAACCGACAACAATAATGGGGAAGCGGCTGATTTGCTGATAATGGGGCGGGTACCAGCCCTGGAGCTTCGTTGGGGAGTTTGTTCCCCATCAAAACAGCAAACCTCGTTAGATTGCCGAACGCGATTAGACTATTTAAACCCCGAGGGAGGCAAATTGTTTGTCTTTTCTTGGACATGAAAGCTTTTTGCTTTTTAGTGGCTGCCGTTATGGATCAAATGATGCTGACTCCCACTGAGTTCCAGTTAGCTCAGGAGAGGAGTTTGAAATATCTAGGCACTGCGAAAGTATACATCAATCGGATTGTCCCACACCCATCCATATCCCGAGAGCTAGATCCCAAAAATGTGGAACGGTTGAGTGAGGTCTTCTCTCATGATGGCTGTCGACGGCTGGATATTCGAAACCACGTTACAGCAGTTGTCTCACGACAGCATTTGGCTGTGGCGCTCCAAACAGCAGGAGTAACGACTCGCAGCTTAAAGACTAGTCCGCCAGATCAATACCCTCTCCTTGAATTTTCAGTGGGCCAGATACAGTGCCTTCACGGCCAACATCGTTTGGCGGCTGCGAAAGAACAGCTCCCACCTCCTGAACAATGGTGGACGGTTGATCTCTATCTCGATGGTACGAAGCCACCTACACTGTCAACATTTCCTTCAGGCTATAGTCGCCTCTTTCAACTTCTAACGATCCTAGTAAAGATCTTAGTACCAACCTATTGACGGCGCTTGTGGACGAGTATTCGAATGAAAAGATTCCGAGTGACGGAGAGGTGTATCTTAAAGTTCGCCAATACCAATATGAAGGGAATGCGCATTTCGAGAATCGATGGATGGCACGTCTCTCGCCGAATAAAGTCAAACGATTCAAACAGCTTTCTTCCCGAACAGAAATACGTGCAGCCTTCGACCGACTGCGCATGATTCCCGCCTTATTATTGCAAGGAATGAAGTTTGGTTCTCTTCCCAGAGTGCTCGCAACGAGCTGTAACGAGGTATGCCCGCCTTCACCTTAACTTCTGCATCCATACTGAGCGAGAAGGAAATCGTTCATGGGTTAAGTTCATTGTTGGAGGAGTGGTCTCATTACTTAAGTTACGATCGTGAGAAGATGATGAAGCTAGACCCGCAGACCGTCGCCAGGCTGCAAGGCAAGGCTCCTGGAGTCTCTTCACAAGATGCGACAGAAGTGGAAGGCCTAGTTCTTAGTGGTGCAGTGTGTCAAAATTTCACTTCCGCTGAGCGCAAGTACATCTGGAAGAGACTCAAAAAGAGGAAAACGATCATTTCCTCATTAGATCATTTTTTCCAAAACATGTGGTACCTTGAGGCATGCGCAAACTGCATGAAGCGGCTGGTGGTCCCTAGTAGAGATCACCCTTCCATCAAGATTGCCCTCATGCACATTTTCCAACCGGATCGTGGCAAGCAGTACTGCACTATCCAAACATCAGAGATCGATTTCCGGCAGCAACCCGGCACTCAAACCGACCGGGCAGAGTTAGGGTATCGGCAACTTTGGCTCTACGCCATGCGCCACTATCCAAAGATGCCCAGACTGTCTGGGAGTGATGACTTATTGGCCAAACCAGATTGTGAGAAGGCTGACGAAATGGTTCTACATGGCTTGGCTGTGCTCGCACAGCGACTCGGGTTTAACTCCCCACTGATTCAGCAACTAGCCGAGCAGTCGCCCGATCGCCAGATGGCACGCGATGTCTTGCTAAAAGCCCGGCAGCCAGGGATTTATCATTACGACCGTGAGAATTTTGAATCTCTTATAACTCGAATCTGTGATTGTTTTTCTGAGGCGATTCCTCTCGACCAGCAGTCCTCTCATGAGCTGATCAGGAACCGAGAACCTAAGCCCAAGGCACGACGTGGCCTTCCACACCGTGAGGACCAGAAGCGGGATTCTCCGTTCCTCTTTCTCGACAATTTGAACAGCAACAATCTGCATCTTGGCGGCAAAGTAACAACTTTGTTCGTAAGACAATGTGTTTATTTTGCCTTCTTTGGTCGCCTGCCAGACTCGCCACCAGTGAGGCCTGTGGGGAGCCCGTCCCTAGGCGATTCGCGCCCCGGCTCGCCACTCTTTGTTCCCCAGGGTGGCTCGGACTTGGAAAACGTTCCAGCCGTATCTCCTAACCAGGGAAGGAATAGGGGCCGGGCTCATAAGCGCAATTCTCACGAGGCTGTACGCAAAGAACGACGAGAGCGAAAGCGGAAGAAGGAGCGTCGACAGCAAGAGCGACGGGAGCGACGGGAGCTGCGAGCCGCACGTCGATCAGAGGCCACTGAGGATCAGACTCCGATAATCCTGGAACCCATTGATCTCAATATGGAAGAGGCACAGTCTGATGCCCAAAGTGCAGACATGTTCTCGCTTGAGAGTCGCGAGGAGTCAATGGTTGACAATATAGAAGAGAATCACAATCCCGAGGCGGAAGAATCAGACCGCTTCCTGAGTGACTTTTACCGCGCTTCAACGGTCACTCACATAGAAATCGACGAGCTCCCAGAGGTAGCTTCTCACTGGGACGATCGAACTCCCCCAGACGGAACGGGAGAGCCCTTTACCAGGGAGGCTCAATCTCCGAGAGCGAATGATGAGCATATGGAGTTAGAGCGAGAGCTCGAGTTGACGCTCGACCATATGAGCAGGGAAGCTGGGGAGCGGGCGGCGCAGGGAGACTCCGGGGCGGAAAACACCATCACCACTGAATCTGCTCCGACAATAACGCCAAGCGGCCCAGACGAACAGGCTAGCCGAGGCAGGGAGATAGGGCCAAACGCTCTTACAAATGCGGCAGAGATCGCGCAGGCAAGCAAGGAAAGAGGTAAAAGTGTCGCTGAACGAAATTCTCAGGACGTGGCAATGGAAGAACCACTCCGACGAGCGAACGATGCAGAATCCCGCGTTGCGTCACAAGCGACTGAGCTGGAGAGGGTACGGCATGCGGGCATAGGAACCTCAGCAGATGCCGCAACGCGGATCTCTCAACTGGATGAGAGGCCGATGGAGCACGAGGGTGAGATGGCGAAAGCCAGTGAAGATGTTGAGGAAGCTGGTGACGAACAAGTGGACGACATACTCCAGGCCGACGCGGAACAGAGGACGATTGCAAACTGGGAGCTGGGTCAGCAAGTGGCTCTTGAGCGAGCGGCGACTTTAGCCCAGTTAGAGGCTGCCGATTCGCCGGCTAATAGGGAGGTAGGATCAATCAACAAGCATCGGCCTGTCACTGAGCTTCATCTGTCGGATATTGTAATGCTGTCGGCTGGACAAACTACTGCGACTATCAGTGAGGCACCGGCTTCACCGGAACACAACATCGATCCACAACCATTAGAAGAGGTGGCAAATGAAAGGCCCCCAGTTCATAGTCAGCAAGCGGGTGCTGCAAAGCAGAGACAGCGGCCGCAAGCGAAACCCAGCAAGATCCAAAAGATCTCAACGGCGAAACTGACGGGGCGGGATGCCAACCACACGACCATGAGAGTCGAGGCTATTGACATTGAACTTGAAGAGGCCTTGGAAAGTCCGCGATCGGAACGTATGTCCGTCGATGAAGGGGCCACAAGGGGGCGCCAGGTTCGCTTCGATATCTCTCACGAGGCGGCAGGCTTTGCAGACACTCTGGAAGGGGAGGATTTGGTGGACCAAAGATCTCCCCGGACCTCACCGCCTGCGGTTCCGTCAGGCGTATCGACCTCTGGAGGTCAGACAGGCGATGTAGCGACGGAAAGTCAATTGTCCATGGCCCCATCTAATTCGCCTCCAGCTGTCCCTTCCAAGAGTGCCACCCCCCTTCTCCCTGAACGGGCGAATCTGGCCAGAGCCGGGGGGGCTTTACCTGGCCATTCTGGAAAACGGCTGAAAGCGAGCACAGCTCGAGCAGAGAAGGTTGTTACTCGGCTTGACTTTGCGGACTGGGATGGTGATCTGGCGGAGGCGTCTGATGATCGAACGCCACCAGGGACGACAGCGACCACGCAGGGTGAGAGCGAGCGGCGCAGCAGAAAGAAGCTCACGCCTCGAATTGTGGAACGGCCGGCACAGGATGTGCGACCGCGTCGGGCAGGGGCGAGTGATCTACCAGTTACGGTCGTGTTCCGTATTCGTGACGAGAGCGGCAATTGGAGGACGGCGCACGAGGTGGTGATAGAAGGGCCGGACCCGTCGGAGGTGGAACGAGTGGCGAGGAAGGAGGCGAGAAACCGACAGGCTACGTTCTATGATAAGAATGGGCGGAAGCTGACGCCAGCACAGTGTTTTGAGGCAGCGATTGAGGACGGAAGCAATATGATTTTTATGCAACTTGGCGGAGACCTAGCGATGGATGAGGACACGATGCGGTCGATAGCGCGAGAGGCGGAATTATAGCGAGATCAATGTCATATCAAGATCTCGGTTGTATGCTCTTGGCCCACGGTGGCCTGCGAGCACTCGATTCATAGCCTGTCCTGGTCGTAGGCCCCCCGAGATACCGAGTGTTAGCCAGGAGGCCCCGCGAGATACCAGTTGGTTGCCAGGCGGCCCAGCTGGCTCGCGGTCCGCAGCGGCTTGTGAGCCAACACGGACTGCGGTCACAGCAGGCCATTGGACGGGTGGGTCCCATGATCTGTTTCGGCCCGCAATCGTTTGAAGCTTCGGGTCTCCCGCTCGAGGAGCCGCCTAGCCTTCTTTCCAATCTCATCAATCCTCACTGGCTTACGATGCGCACAGGCTCCCGATCCCAGGCTTGCGGACTTTGATGGGTTGAGAGCCTTGGAAAGAAGTCCTTTGCTGTCATTAATCTTACCTAAATATTAATGTTATTAATGTAATGTTCAGCTATATCCACGAATACGAAAATTCAGTGACTCTCCAGTGTCGGTTCTTGTGCAGAGTACTATAGGTTACTGTAGAACTACAGCTCCGATAAAGAGAACGGTTGAAACAAGCATCCTTACCCTCGCTGGGGAAAGATGACCTGCAGCCTTCGGCCAAGCGTGAGGGCGGGTGGGCTTTCGTCGAATCATTGTTGTCCCCTCTGAAGCGGACCCACCTGCCGGTTGCCCCATGGAAGACAAAGATCACTGGGCAGATCCCCAATCTCAACAGCCGCCCCGAAAATAAAAAGTCCGTTATTTTATTGGTTCATCCCCCGCTTCTCTCATCCCTTGTCTCATCCTCCCTTGTCTTTCTTTTCAGTCTCTTACGTCTCCTGCCGTTCGTCTTCTACTTAACAAGACCAAGAATCCCGATCGATGAAGAACATGGAAAAGGACGGACCTAAAAGTGTGTTAGGCCTTTGACTAACACAGATGTCATAATCTATAAGTGGTGGGAGCCGCACTGATAATTCTATTATCTCTAGGGACGGACCTCGAAGACCACGAATTGACGGATGACGGTTTTGAACACGGTGACCTCGATAATTTCGAGGAAGAAGAATGGTGGACGGGAGATGAAAGCGAAGATTCGGAGTGTGAACAAGACATTGAAGAACACGAATATACCACCCACGGTGAAACGGCACAAACGGTGAAGATTCGACTCTTCTTGACCGACGAGGGAGTGGACCGGTCCATGTGGATGAAGACCTTCACCGCCGAATGCACTTATGATGGCGTTGTTGTCGCCACTGCTCTAGCACGCTATATCGACCGAGAGGGCATACGCTCTGAATTCTGGAAAAAAATGGAACTACCCAGCGAGGAAATGCGCGATGTTGCTTTCCAATTATTTGATCGATACGGCACAGTCAAGGCCAAGTATAAGGATCATCCAGTGCAAAGAGGAAGTGGAATATGGGGAAACGAGCTTGATTATGGCCCTCTTTTCCTGTTCGAGGAGCTTCATGTTGCAGCGGAGCTACGTCGGAAAGGGCTGGGGCATAAAATAGCGTCTTTGCTTTTGGACAAAGCCAAACAGTTCTGTCTGGAGGATAAACCAGACAGCGAAAACGCAGATCTTGTCTACGGTTCTAATCAAGCCTTTGAGCGAGCATGGACCCTCCATGCCCTGGTGGATCCCGGAATACTAACAGCTGACATCGAATCGCAGTCAGTAGGTAAGTCTGTAGAAGAGCGTTTGATGATACGAACTCGCGTTCAGTTCGAGGCAATTTACTTTTGGCGAGCATGCGGTTTTCGCCGGATCGGAGCATCTTGCTATTTCGCTTTTTCATACGATTCTCAACATGAGTCTCATGCCCTTGATGCGGCTTCCGATTTCGACCCGCGTCAAGACTATTCCGAAGACCTTGAGGACGAAGAACTCCACGAGAAAGTTCCCTTCTCCGAGGTAAAGAAGCTGAAATTAGAAAGACTTCGCGACTCGTTGCCGCTACATCATGCGGCTCTCACTCTGGCGGACGATGAGCTCAAAGAGTTTTTCATGACCCATGCTGACGACGATCACATTGGCTGGGATCATGTTACAGCCTCTGAAGCCACGCTTCTGCATTTGACAGCTTGCCAGCTCAAGCCCCTTAGCACTCGGTGGTTACTTGAAAGTGTCCCTAACACCGACTCCTGGAGGAGGGCTCGTGATATTGATGGTTACACCCCTCTGGAAGCGCTGCGGGAGGATTTAGAGATCATGCGAACTCAAAAGGAAATTGGCACAGGGACTTTCCTATCTGACCACTTTAGGGGGTACCCCGACACAGCAGTGTCCTGTCTCGCCTTGTTGTCTGGACCAGATACTTTAAGGCTTAGTGATGCATGCCTCAGATACGGGTGTACATGCGGAGAGTGCCTGGAAGGGTTTATATCCGCCCGAATGAGCAGCGCTTTGATATTTCAGGGCGAGACAACATACGACCACATCCAGGAGGGAATCGATGATGGCAGCTTTTGGGTAAAGGACAACGACTACCTCCTCATACACCTCGATCACGATGTGCGCAGGAACCTCAGAACCAACAAGTCATTTCGAAAGGGGTTTGCGAATATTTTTCGAATCGCCGTTGAATGTCTCAAGGCGAACAGAATTCCAACCGCAGAAAGTCTGGAGTGGTGCTGCAACAATCGAAGCGAGTGGCCACCGGATACCAAGAACTACCTGCGACGCAGCGGGACGGCGATGGGCTGTCGGGCAGTGCTTCGATACATGTTCGACGCTGCGAAAGAGGAGGATGAGAAAGCAGGCAACGGGGAGTGTCAACTCGTGCTAAAGGAGGCATGGTCAGACTTACCAACCTGCAGAAATGACCATGAATTTGAATTTGTTGCCAGGGCGTGTGGTTACGGTGGCGATGATTTTATATCGTTACAAATGTGGTAGATAAGGTACAATATCTGTTAATTAATCCTTACATTCGAGAGTATACCTGCGACTGTCTTCATATTCTCCAGACAGGCTCTTTGGAGCGAAGGTACTCACGTCACTTGAATCCTTGCCCTGAGAATACTACTTGAGGTTTCCGAGCAGGTATTTGATGCAATACATCATTACTGTGACCCTGACTCTAGCTTAACACAAACTCTCGGTTATGTTCCGAAGATTTATGGAGACTCTTCCGACAAGGAGGCATTGAAGCCTCAGAAGAAATATCCGATATAATGACAGCATACCCAGGTCTCTGCTAACGCTTTTCTTTCTTTTCCCCTTCCCATGCACAGTCTGAACCAAATAGATCAGTGGTGGTGGAGGGATTTCAGATATTAGTTATCGAAGAGTATGTGGTTGCCCTTGAGAGAGCGGTTAGTTAGCTTGCAGTACGGAGTACAGTGAATGGATTTCTGGGAATGAGAGAAAAGCCTCTCAAAAGGTGGGCGGTGCTTTTGACCCTGACAGGAATGGGGCCACTGAGTCACCCAATTGTGAGACACAGTGACTGGGCTAAAGTTACCTCAGCGCGACCTCCTTCGTCGGAGGCTACCGAGGAGGAGATTGATGATCTAGCCCGCCAGTGTTACCAGAATGGGAAGTATATAAATACTGGTCTCGAGGGCGACGAATAGCCATTCAAATGTCCTAGCTGCGATTATAAGTTTGCAAATCTCTCTGCACTCTATTAACATGCTGAGGATGTCCTGCCCTGTTCGTCTCTCCTTAGTGGGAATGGTTGTTTGGCTAAACTGGCACGTTTCATTGATCGGAGTCTACAATAGCTTCGCTTTCCTGTTTCGAAATGCCACCATTTTGTCAACAGACTGGCTGATTTAGCGTCCACGCCTGGCCTTTGAGGGGAGTTCTACCTGGTTAACATGATACTGGAGTACAGTGTCGGGAAAATACCTGGCGGAAAGGTTTCAGAGATCATTAGTTGCATTTTTTTAATTTACATCATACCCAGATATCTGCTAACACTTTTCTTTCCTTTCCCCTTCCCATGCTGTGCATGGATCCCAGGAGTTGTTGGTGCTGTTCCTAGACCCCTGGCTTTTACTTCCACATTGAGTGGAAGATGGCTTTCTCCAAGGGTGGGACTCTGTCCAGGAGTTGTTGAAAGTCGGCGTCCTGCATCAAGGTTTCCACATTCCACACAGCGTAATCTCGCAAGATATCTTGCATGTTTTCCATGTATTCGCTGTCCTCAAATACAAACTTCAGCAATTGAACTATGTCCCCGGTTCTTTCGTCAAAGAGGGTGTAGTTAGCCAGCAAATGAAGAAGCCGGAAAAGGGACCAAGCACATAAAAGTACCCAGTCGGTCCGGAAGCCCACACGATACACTTTTGCGTGGCTAAGGAAAATCTCCGCATAATTTGCTCGCGGATCGCTGTTCATCACTTTCTCTTCGCACGGTAGCTCCTGGCCCAGCCGTGAAGAAATAGCAGCATACATACTGCGGAGCCTGTCAGGATGGAAAACGTTTTCTGTAAGGCTCGCTGGATCCCATCTTAGTTGGACATCATGGGATGGTATCTCGCTCTTCAGGGGGCTGGAAATCGGCAAAGGGACAGAGTAATCCCCGGTATACACAAATTCACAGCAACGGCCAAAGACAACTTCATCAATTTCACTGTTCAACGGCGGCTCGAGTATCTTCTTCGGGAAAGATCTTGCTAGTGCCGCATGTATCGAAAGACGCTTTTGGTCTTTGCCAACAACCAACTCAACGATGCCTGACTGCAGCAGCCTGGACTCTTCAGCTGTATGGAAGAGTCTGGGTAATAGGAGAGACTTACATATGATACTCAAGCTGCATTTTCATACGTTATGTCAGCGGTAATAGGGTTCATTCAACTGAGTGGTGGCGATAATTGACAAAAGTATTCACAGGTGCAATATTTGAAGATCAAAGAGCGCGTCTGTGGACTATAACTTGACGGTCCAGCTGCTTCCCCAGCGAGCAATTTGTTTCGGCTAAGACAGCCTGGTAGGGTAATCGAATCATTGTTCGCCGCATTGAAGTGGCCCCACCTTGAGGCTCGGCTTCCCCAAGGAAACCCGCCAATATAGTATCATCACGCAGAAGCCCCAGTGAGGTAAGCTGAGCTCCCCGGTGCATCCTCCACAATGTGAGACCTTGGCGAATGGCCTGGCAGCAAAATATATAAAGCTGCTCGAACCCGCTTCAACTACATACTACTCATATGAGGAACTTCTGCCTCTCTCGACTCCGATCATGGCGCCATGCAACAATCGGTAGGGGTAATTCAATTCCTTGGCTGAGACACAACTAACAATATATAGAGCATTCCTTTCCAAGCTCCTGAAATTTACCGTGGGCAGTGCCTGTGAGGAATTTGTTATCCACAGCGACATACTTAAACTGCACTCAACACCCTGGTTCGACGCCGATTCTGGTAGTTTTCCAGGTGATGAATCTATCATTATCAAGGATGCGGATGCGCATACATTTAGTTTTGTCTGTCAGTACTTATACACTGGAGACTACTCTATCACGCTTCCCAGCGATACGCCACCTCCTGACCTGACGTCTGGTGGACAAGAAAAGCCGGAGCAGAACCATGCAATCATCCTAGAGGGAAATCTCTTCAAAGACACAGAGACGGTGGAAAAATTCGCGGACTACCTTGTGAGGCGGATCCAGCCACGGCCTTCTGAGGGCTCGCAAGGTAGCTACGATCCAAACGCGAATTATACTGAAATACTTCTCACCCATGCTCGTCTTTATACTTTTTCGGTGAAATATGAATTGCAAGAGCTGCGCGACATCTGCCTCTTCAAGCTGATACATCTTCTGCATGTCTTCCCGATATGTCAAGACCGGGTTGGAGATATTGTTCGGTTGATTGACCTCGCCTTCGACACGGACACTGGACAATGCGAGAATCTAACAACAATGTTGCAATATTACGTTGCTCGGCATATTAAATTATTTCTGCCCAGCACCAAGTTCCAGGTACTTCTGCAGGAACAGCCTACTCTGGCTAACCTTTTGCTTCAAACACTCGTTGGTGGGCTTTGACAATGAAATCGCCAAGAAGAGGTTCAAGGACGACAGTATATGAGAGTAACATGGCCGGCTGCAAGTGAGTCCTTGCTGAAAGTACAGTGGTTAGTTGAGAATACATACAGCGTTCTCGGAAATGAATATACGTTGGTACCCTCTGTACAGTCAACAGCTAAATCATTTTGACAAGTAAGACCTCATTTGCTTCGCTAGGTCGTTCACTCTCTATCTCGGTCCCGTTTCGGCGACACGCACTCCAGTTATCAGTTGCTACTCCAGATGCCTTGTCGTCGTCCAAAAGCCTCTACTTGAAATTTTCTCTGTCTCCTCAATTGGCAAGAAATAACCAGCCCAAGACCAGCTTTCTATGCTGGATTAAATCTCTGACGTCTGTATCTTGAGCCAGCAACAAAAGGAGTCTCTTATAAAAAGATTCTTTAAGCCGGCCTCTTACACCTCTGCGCCATCACCTCACAGGAATGACAGGATGGCTTGGGGATAGTTCCCTTGGGTGATAACTGTTCTTGGGGAAGTGGGATAGATTGGTTGGGGGCAACATCCGTGCTTGCTCCGTGCTGTTGGGTCTTGACTGAAATCAGGAAGCGAAAGATGGATGCAGGCCGGGAATGCCTTTGACGGGCGGTGGGCTGTCGAATGAAGGCAAGAGGTAATCATGCAGCAAACGACGAACATCTTCACACCTCCCATGATCTCGCACTTGCTATTATTGGGAAGCACACGAGCCCTCAGCTTGTTGACAACCAGATGGGGGCGTTCCACGAGGCATATCGAACTCCGAATTAATGGTTTACTGGTTGGTTCGCAACGCCAGCAGCACTGTCTCTCGGGCGCCGAGGCCCAATTGTGGGGTGGGGCGTGGGCGCACAGATCTCAAGCAACGAATCACGCAGGCTTGAAGTTTTGGACTCTGATCAACCCCGCATTCTTAAGTTATTGCGTGCAGACCGAGGAGCTCGCGGGTACGGGTTTGGGGACGGCGCGGCAGCATCGCTAATATTCAAATATACGTGGCACCTCTCCTTGACCAAGATAAGGCCACCTTTATCGCTAGTTGTCCACATAGAAGGATCTACGGCCAAAGCCAACCTTATTGGTTCTTCGCTGCGGTTCATTTGATTTTCGCTTGCAGCCGAAGCTGTTTGTGGCTGATGAAGCACTCCCATCCTCATGAGACACGTTGCGAGAAGGCGGTTGAGAGCTGTCTCTGACGCCACTGTTATGCTACACGAAAGCACAATCTCATATTCCCAAGCCAGAGAAGACCCGTATCACGCACATCTCTGAGCTGTTCAACTTGCGTTAGTGCTACGCCGCAAAAGAGACGACCGCCACAATGCAAGATGTAGCAGCATTGATGAGGCATCTAGCCTTGGCTGGATGAGGAGATGGGAGTGGGCTTCTCACGAGATTACGGAGCCTCACGATGAGGTGCCTGGTCGAGTAACTGATAAATTCGCGGCCTCGCTTCGGCTTGAGCATTCAAGACAACCCATAATAATCCCCCGTCTTCTTCTCCGCGATTAATTAAATATTTGAATAGCCTTATCACGTACTCGCTCAATTGTCCTGCCAAACATGCCACACGTATCAGCCGCGTCTCCTGGGAGCCAGCATCCCCCTTCGACCCAAAGCCAAAGGCCCGCCGCCCAGCAGCCACCTAGTACCCAGGCATTGGCAGACCTCCTGGACCTATTGAGCTCAATTTCTTCAAGTCCCAGCTATCAGGTTGCAGAGCAAATCTTTAACGAGGCCGCTAGTCTTCGAAGTAAGCTACAATCCAAAGAGAAGGAGCTGGAACAAATCAGAAACGAAATGTCGAAGCAGGTTATAGCGAAGCAAATTGCTATCGACGAAATGTTTGAGGCAAATGAGGTCCAGAAGTCAAAGCGAAAAGAGGCTACGTCGGAGATAGAGTCCCTTAAGAGGCTGGTTCAGGAGGGAAGGGACGCTCTCTCTTTCAAGCAGCGAGAGATCAGCGACTTCGAGGGCCGATATAAAAAGCTTCAGTCGGCCCATAACGAATTACAGTCCGACTTGAAGACGGCCCAACATGATATTGATGGCCTGCAGCACATGGTCAGAGAAAAAAATGCCCTCATGGATAAGATGAAGCTTTCTTATTCGGAGATCCAGAAACGCTTGAATGCAGTGGAAGAAAGGGCTAAAGAGATGGAGAATGAGAAGTCTGCGTTAAGCAAATCACTGGAGGCAACAAAAGTTCGCCTGAACAAGATCGAGGGCTATACAACCCAGCATTCTGACTGCGACGAAGATTCCGTGTGAGTTGCATCTAAATCAACGAAAGCTCCAGTATACTAACTTTGTATAGGACAGATGCCTTTATCGATCTATGGCAATATGCCACCACTGAGACCTATCCGCACCTGAGTAAAGACCTCTCTGAGGAGATTCTGCAAGTAGGTTTTCAGTGTATAGAAAGCTGTTACCTTTCCATGCTCACACTCACCGTCGTCTCTAGAATCGCTCAATCTGAGACACTTTCAAACGACAGAGCAACCTCGCTGTCGAGCACCATGTTCCGCTTCCACATTCCAACTCTCCGGCTGCGAAGCAGATGCGGCTGGCTATATTTTTAGCTATTCTAGCGAGGGAAGTCGATAAACAAATCTTCCAGCCCACCTACATTGTGCCCGAAGACGCAGGTATTCGAGAGGTTTTCGCCAACCTCGCCGCCTCCGACAGTGAGAAAGAATCATTCTGCCGGTCTATACTTCTTTCCATTAATCCCGACGCGCAGAAAGCTGCTCTTCAGTCAAGGATCCAAGCGGTCATTAGGAATGCTTCTTCATATATGTATGACATGCTTCCTGATGACCAGTTCGACCAACTCCGCGTAAGTGTCGGGAAAATAGTGGAAAGGGCTGTTGAGGTTTGGAATCCCCTTCAGCGGTCCTTACAAAGATATGAACCGGATTTCGAGCCTCTTAAGTGGGAAGACGATGGATGGAGCTCACTAGATTTCCTGGAGGGAAGCCACGCAGGAAGTGAAACCAACCCGAATGTGTTGGACGAAAGTCTACTTACTGTGTTCCCGCGCCTAACAGTGGTGGAGAAAGGAAATCGGTTCCCACTTACCTACGTTGTGCAGTTGAGAAGATCCCAGCCGCAGTGCGTGGCAGCAGGACGAGAGGTGAGCAATGTACTGACCAGCCCCGTTATTGGTCGGGTTGCATCCAATCGACCTCGCAGGAAGTCAATCGCTTCAGGCAATGCCAGCCCTGCGAATGGCACCCTGTCAAGCAAAAAAAAGTCTCAGGGTGCTTAATCGGATAGGAGATTCCTCTAGGAATGTCACTGCGCAGTTCTAATAGTCTTATTACGCGCTAAATTTTTTAGTTGAAGCTGCAGGAGGGCTTGCTTTACGAACTCTACATCGGCAGACTGAAGCGTACGATCTCTTTATTACTTGGATGGGAAAGCTAATGGATCAGTGGAGGGAAATAAATTTTAATTAGAAAGATTAAAGTATTTTAATGTTTTTCGCTAATCTTTTATTTAAAACAGTCCCCGACTAAACCAGGGGCACAAGAGCTGAAGAGCGATGTGAATACGGCAGCATTGCTGAAACGGTGACAATGGGCTTGTGGACGAATTCTCAGGCGGTGTCGCGGCAGTATCCCAGGATACTCGCAAGTCCGCTTTAAGAGCTTTCTGCCACACACTACCGCCTCACGACCCCAGAACACTGGCCATCAACACAATCCCGTTTTAAGTCTTACTCTATCAGATAGGATCATGACCGCCTTAAGAGCAGGAATCTCAAGACGGCCAAATATTTAGACGTACATAAAGTATAGAGATAAAATGCGCCTGTACAAGCTTACAGCACATAGACTCATCGACAATTCAGACCAGAACTAACCTATTTAGGCTAGGCACTTACGCTCTTTGGCGCAGAAAACAATCGCCCTTTTTGCGGAAGAAGATCATTCTCAGACACAAGTTCCACTCACAAAGGGATTGCTCGCCTCGCGTGTCAACAATGACCAAACAGAAAGACAGTCAATCGGATTTAGAAACGACAGCCCTCCATACTTCTCGGTTTACACCTGTGCTTGAGGACAAATTGCGGGATGAGAGAAGCCAGAGGTGTCCAAGTCAGGTATTTCTTCTCGCTCCTAAAAGGCATCCCGCTACACAACCACGTCCATTGCTAATAACGACGCGGTAAATAACTCACTAGGAGACAACCCAATCACGCCAGCAGATTAACGAAGCGCGACCACTGCTTCAAGAAGAACAGCGGCCAAGAGCAGCCACCAAGGAGCAATCGAAGCATGAACATTACTCCCGAGGCGCGATCGCGGAGCCAGACACAAGCAATGCAGCACCTATTGGGAATAAACTAGACGCGTTTCGGACCAGCTTTCAGGAAGCATGTGAAAACCTGAATCTGGCTGTAACGCTGGGCTCACTACAGTCTTTCGGTGTTGAAGGTACCCCGTCAACTGCATCGCGCCATGGCAATGTAATCAGTAACTAATGCGATGCAAGACACCCAAAACCTGATACTTGACTTGATCGGCACCAATGCCCGTACTCCCCGTCCATGGCGGGTGAGAGACTGAGGTGGGGTGGGTGCTGAGGCGCTGAAGCGGGGGATCGGCTGTAAGCCAATCGGAGTTACAAGTTCAAGTCCAACACGCTGAAGACACTATTGTTTCAGCCATCGCACTCCCAACGAATGTAATCAGACACCGAGTCCGTTCTTTTGGTCATCTGAGGCCCTCTTCCAACTTCCGTCCCTTCGCTCGAGCTCGATCCCAGCGACAATCTCGCCTGTTCAGACCATTTCAGAGTCTTAAACTACACTGCGCGACTTAGCAGCGCAGTATGTTGACCATGGCACACCAATCTATATGAACAATAATCAAGAGGGCCCTATAAAAATTCCAGGACAGAATTTCCCGAACGACCAATATGCTCTGCCCTCAACGTTTATTAGAGTGGCTTGCTAGTGAAACTGATCACAGATGAGGAAATATAATGACATCATTTATTTAGACTACTCAAAATCCTTCACAGCGCTTGTCCCTTCGACGTCCAGAATCTCCCGCCAGATCGAACGTAGCTTATATCTTGCTAGAACATTATCTGCTTATATCTTTTTCTCCATCTATTCCTGCTCCAAGCACCTGACCCCTTCCGTGGACTGCAAACTTGGTAGTACTCGACTCTGGACGCGTGTTGTTCTGGGCGGTAACTCTGCGGTCACTGGATACTTTCTGGACAGTGGTATCAGACAAATCGCCGAGAAATTGTGTCGAGCCCGGTTTGACCGAAATAGACTTCGCGGTTGTGGTGTGGCTGCTTGTAGAACCGATAAATTGGAAGACGCCTTCATCAATGTGAACGTCTTCAAAGACATTGTCACGGCGATGGGCAAAGGGCGTGTCGGATGCAGTAGGAGCCGGTTTAGGTAAGATAGCCTCTTGTTCGTGGGCCATTGCGATGACTTATAGCCGAGTTTGTTCGTCTTCTCTATAATGAGTAATTTGGTGGGTGAGAGGGGTTCGTGGTGATGGTGTTCCAAGGGATCGCAAGGCGTATCACGCGGGGGCTGCTGTCACATGAACTTTGTAGTGGCTGACTAAGTCCCAATTATTTTGTCCTGAAATCACGTGGGTAGAATAGCTACTGTAGATACACCATCGTGAAGTGGAAGTCTGCTTAGGGAGTGAAGTGGGTATTCTAATTGCTCCCACCCATCACAGCACAGGAAGGTGATTTCATTATTATAGAGATATCCCAAAGGCCCACTGTTTACGTCGAAACAACATTGCTATCCTGACCAAATGTTTGTTTTAATCGCATATCACCTCAAGATCTGATAGTTCTCCGCAAACAGATAGACGGCAGCGTGATGGCTCTTATGAACAGCCAATAAAGCGTTGCTAAGTTCTAGTCCCTTTACAAGCAAACTATCATAAGGCAGCTGTGAACTCCAGTCTAGATCCTATCTCCGCAGTGAACCGGCGAATTATGAAGGTTGAAGTCGCCGAATTACAAGTCAGAGCTTTGTGGCACCTATATACCAGGACGAATTACAAGCCAGCCTTGACAGGTTTCATCTAACTAGATATTGCTGGCCAGCCGCAATTTTTACACACTGTCCTTCCCCGGGGGATCACGGGTAATAAAATTTATTCTTGTCCCGAGTACCCGTGAACATTGTCTGGCACTAAGGAGTTCTATAATTTTTGTTCATAAAGATTGCCTGGCCTCTGCCCAGATATCTCGTTTCAAAGAGGATGTCCTGTGCCGTAGCATTTTTCAAAATTATCCCGGTCATTCTGCTCAATACCCGCCACTTTCTCGCCCGGAGAAACTGTGCTGAGAAGATAAATGCTGTATTGACTCATCAGACATCTGTCCTAGTAGTTGCAACGACCTCATTCCAGTAGTTATCCTTTTGGCGTTTATCAAGTCTCCAATAGTTGACACCAGAACTTGCTTTGCGTCATCCATGGAAGCTACATCTTCGAAGAGATTCACCCGACTACTCTCAGATAGAATAGAGGCATCCGAACAGATCGTAAGACAGTGAGAGATTGTTTCTCTCTCTTCCTTAATCTTCTGAAGCTCGCAAGAAATCTGTCCAGACACTGATGGATTGCTGGTAGACTGCAGGCTTGCTTCTAAGTTTTTGAGGTGCTCTTGGAGTCGAGCTGACGCTGCATTCACATTCTGAAGGCAAGAAGTCAAGGAGTTTTGGGCTATTTGCCGAGCAATGCCAATATTAGCCTTTGCTTGCGTTTTGTGACCATGTGGTGAGCTCGCTGCTTGTCCTGCTCCATCGTCGCGTTTAAATTGATATAGCTCAATATATCCTGAGACCTGTTTACAGATCTCAAGACAGAGTGTTGTACTCTGTCGTTCCTCTTCTATCCTTTGTAACTCTTCGCGGTTTATATCCGTGCTTGGCTTGTCTGGCAAGCACCCGGATTTTAGCTTGTGCTCGATTTCGTTCAGTCGGTCTTGAAGGTCTGTTGTGGTGTTCTGTATCATGTCCTTGTAATCCTGAAGGACTTGACGCGTGACAGCGACAGACTTACTGATAACAAGTCAGGAGGGAATTCTGTGATAAGGGTCAGATCATGGAACTTACAAAGTTGCTCCGCCTATCGCAATGTTAATGGTTGCCTTGTAGTTACCAAGCACATTTCTGTAATTGGTGATATCTTCACCCATGTATTGAAGTCTGGTCCAATCACGCAAGCTGTTCAACCTTTGTCCATCTGGGTGCTTTATACATCGGCTGATTAGATCACTTAGCTCCTGGCACACAACACCACATCGGAATAGAGGTAGCTTCAGCACCGAAAGCTCCACCTCATATTCTGTAGCCAGTTGTGTCAAAATTTCAAGGGTCTGACAAAGAGCCTCCACTTCATCCCGAAGTTCTCTGGCGGATCGCTTGCTGTTCCGGATGCTTTCAATTGTCTGAAAGAGGGATTTGGTAGCGCCGAGAGCAAATCCAGAAAGAGCAATTATTCCAGAAGCAACTGACAACGGATCGCCCATGCTGCTAGATATGTAAATAAAACTAAGATCGATAGGTGGCAGCGGAGAGTAGATTTGCAAATGTGCAATTGTCAAGTCGTCAGACATGGGAAGATAATAGAGATGAGGGGTAAGGTCTCGATCAAAGCTCGCCTGTAAGTTTATCCGATTCCGCCTGATCAGCAACATACGCCGGTTTTAGCCACAAATAATCTCCCTTTTCCCAACTTGCGCTCAGGTGAGAGCATAAGTCCCCTAATGCCGTTCTCTTCGGTAACTTAGTCAGTTCGGTAATGCCGTTATTCCGATCAATGTTTTACGTACGTCTCGAGACTTTCCAAGATTAGGACAACTTCAGTCTGGATGGCTACAGCAAAACTAATAAGTGGGCAAAGCATAAACATCGAGACATTTAAGATACGAGCTAGATTACCTGAGGACAGTACTAACATATATAAGTGACCTAGTCATTCACCGAATTTCCTCTTGCCCGCAGATTATATCGTGACTTGATCAACTGGGTCGTTCGTCGAGCATTGTTGCGGGCGTTGCCGTTTATTTCCGTCAGGCCGCGATCGTTCGAGGATGACCTGGGTACTGATGTTGGATTTCTGGAGGGCTGACTATGCCGAGAGCCTAAACTACGAACATATTTCAGGCTTCTGGAGTAGATGACCTGGAGGTTACTCCTTTTCCTACCAGGAAATTTAGGAACAATCTCGTCCCAAGTATATCCATCCTGCTTCAGTCTCACAAGCCGCTGCTTTTGTTCATGCGAGAGGGGTCCACGAGCAGGCACAGGAGGGCTTGGCTTCCGTGCGGACACACCAGGTGCTCTGCAAGCCTTGGTTGAGAACGGAGCTGACCCGAGGACTCTCAGCCTATGCCACCAAAGCCGATACCGTCTTCTGAATCAAACCTGGGACTCGGTTTACCAATCACGCCTAGGGTTAGAATGCCCTGGATACGGCTTCGGTCAGTTCGAGCCATAATTTCTGATGGAGAACATGCTTGCGGATATTATTCTGGGGATTATTGAATTAGGGCGATGCCAATTGGGTAGTGATTCTTGGAGTGTTTGTAAATGCCGTGACAACTTCTCCTGAAGGTCTCTGCAAGATCGCCTTGCCTGAAGGCTTGCCAGTATTGAACGGAGTGCTTGGCTTGGTCTTCCAAGTATGTCTTTCAAATCCGTTTTCTTCTCAAACCCACCAGGATACTGCCTGCCGAAGTCATATTGAACGACAGAGTCGCTTACTATCACATCCCCCAGAAATATCTCTCCGCCGGATAATGGGTATGGTGCACCTCCGCAGATCCCGACAACCAGCGCCACTTCAATCCTTTTGTAGCTGATTTTCAAGCTCGAGGCTACGCTGGCGGCACTCCCTGTTCCCATGCCAGGCATATAGCACACGACCACATTATGGCTTCCAATCCTCCCGTTAATATATGTATTGTCATCGCCTGATTGTTTCCTGTAGTGTTCGCCCAACCGGTCGTAGGTTTCGTAAAAGAGCTCTTCAACCGCCTCCGCTTCGAGGGTCAGCGCGCAGATGATCGCGATCGCAAAATCGTCTCGACTGGATGGGCGCATCTAGGTAAGTGGAAGTGACAAATCTAGCAGTTTCAAGCGAAGATTCGGTCAGCTTTATAATCTCAAATGATGCGATAGCTGTTGTTGAAGAGCCAAAGCAGAAAACCCTCTGGTGAGCCAGATTCAACGACCTTGAGCCTCACAGCCTGTCCCGTGACATGGTCTCCGCCAACCAGATATCTGCGTTAGCCGCGCGAAGGAGGGGGAAGCACGAAAGGACAAGCAACCTGGCTCTGCGATCAAGATAGAACTTCACATCCATCATGAAAGAACTTGTCACTCTAGCCTTTCCAGTATTAAAGGAAAAAAGGCACTAAGTGCCGAGTTTCAGAAGGAGGCCGACATGAAGGAGGGAAAGAATCGACTGGCAAGAAATGGCACTAACAGTTCAGATCGCCGGGTACCAACATGTGATCAACATTATCCGGCCTAACTCTCGGCCCGGGTGAGATTGCCAAGCACAAAATTCCCCAAAAACATGCAGCTTCGCTTCAACCACAACAGATATTTGGAGAAGGTGCGCAAAGCGTCGCCTTAAAATTAAGACTCAGCCAACCTCTCCAAATATGGATGTTCGTCATTTTCCATCCGCAAACAAACAGGTGAAGTAATATATGATAAATTGGATTCGCCTAGATCGGAATGCTTCTTACTTGGTCTCCATATAGTGACATGCCTTTCGAAGAGCAAGAGGCTCAATAAAGTCCTCCAAGACTCGTGCTCTGATCTACGATTCTAGCCGGCAGATCAACGAAGGTAAGAACCATTCCCATCCTGGTCTCGCCGCCTCCGACAGTGAAAAAAGAATCATTCTGCCGGTCTATACTTCTTTCCATTAATCCTGACGCGCAGAAAGCTGCCCTTCAGTCACGGATTCAAGCGGTTATTAGGAATGCTTCTTCATATCTATATAACATGCTTCCTAATGACTAGTTTAATAAACTCCGCGTAAACATCGGGAAAATAGTGGAAAGGGCTATTAAGGTTTAGAATCCTCTTCAGCGGTCCCTACAAAGATATGAACTGGATTTCGAGTCTCTTGAGTAGGAAGACAATCAATAGAGCTTACTAGATTTCCTAGAGGGTAGCCACTCAGGAAGTGAAACCAACCCGAATATGTTAGATGAAAGTCTACTTACTATGTTCCCGCGCCTAACAGTGGTGGAGAAAGGAAACTAGTTCCCGCTTACCTACATTGTGCAGTTAAGGAGATCCCAGCCGCAGTGCGTGGCAGCAGAACAAGAGGTGAGCAATGTACCGACCAGCCCCGTTATTGGTCGGGTTGCAGACAGTGTGTCCTGGAGACCTTGTTGGCCCCCTACCTCTCTGGAGTCCCGAAGATTCCATACCAGGATCTCTTGATCGCAACCTCCTGTGGGGTAACCGTCCAGCTAGTTGATTTGATTTGCTTTCCTAATATGACGTCATGTGGCCAGCCCATGTGACATATCTGCATCATCACTCGCAACGTCACCTCCACTCCACGTTTTACTGAGCACAATTCCAGCATGCCAGGCTTTTATTTATCGGTAACTAACTACCATTTATTTCCGTGCTTATGTCGGAACAGCGTGGACGGCGCGGCAGTCGAGGCGGACGACGTGGAAACCGTGGTGACTTCACTGTTCCATTCCGTCAAGGGCCGCCTCAAGATGGTCGAGGTGGAGTTGACCGTGGCAGAGGAAGGGGAGCTTTCAGAGGGTTTGGGGGAGGACTGAGAGATGGCTTCGGTAGGGGCCGCGGCGGCGATGGCTTCGCTCCAGTCAACACCCCACCCGTTTTCAGGTGATGTTTTCATTATATTACCCTGGCCAAGTGTACTGACTTTCTTCAGTCCCGATTACGTCCCTGCCCTCGACGGAAGTGTTGCAGAGGTTGAAAACGCTATCATTAAGTCATCAATGGAGCAGAAGAAGGGTCACACTGATGCTTTAATGCCTCAGCGACCAGGTTTCGGTACTCAAGGACGAAAAGTGATGCTATGGGCCAATTCCTTCCCCCTGGTGTTTAAGAGCGATGTTCAGTTATACCGATACAGTGTCGACGTCTTACCTGGGGATGAGCGGAGCAAGGTTCCAACGGGGAAGAAGATGAAGAGGTTGGTCCAGTTACTGCTTGAGGACCATTTTCCCGACAAGAAGCTTGAAATCGCGTCGGATTTCAAGTCGAACCTCATAAGCTCGGTTAAACTGGAGCTTAACGATGCGGGATATAGAATCCTGTATCGTAGCGACTACGAGGATGAACTTGTCACCACTGGACCTATTTACAGTGTTTGCGTGCGATCAACAGGCATGCTTTATGCGTCTGAGCTTGTCAACTATCTGACATCAACACGCGCTGGTGCTTTACTTAGTTCCAAAGACGAGATCATCCAATGTCTCAATATTGTCATGGGTCACACTCCCAAGGCTGCCGTCGGTATCACATCTGTCGGCTCTGGCAAGCACTTCCAGCTGGCTAGCGCTGAGAAGATGAGCCTTGGTGCCGGGCTAACGGCACTTCAAGGGTTTTTTTCCAGTGTGCGCGCGGCCACTGCCAGAGTTATTGTCAATGTTCAGGTCAAAAACGCGGCCTTCTATGACGAGGGTCCTCTTGACATGCTGATGCATGCATATATGAATGAGAACGGCCCAAACAAGGTTAAGCTTGGTAATTTCCTCAAACGGCTGTCGGTCAACGTTACACACATCAGGAAAAAAAACAAGAAGGGCCAGCTAATCCCACGTATTAAGCAGATTGCTGGCCTGGCTACCCCTGCCGATGGGCAGGGTGAGACAAAGCCTCCAAAGGTTTGTGATTTTGGTGCTGGACCCAGAGACGTTCTATTTTATCTGGCGGGGCCCCCGGTTTCGGGTGAAAGATACATTAGCGTGTATGACTTCTTTCAGCAGAGTGGGTCATCAGAATTCTGCAGAGTAGAAGCAGTCCTACTAACTCTGTCAAAGCCTACAACATCACCATCCAAGACACCAACCTTCCGGTTATTAATGTTGGTACTCGCCAACGCCCATCGTACCTACCCGCACAAATATGCGAGGTGCTTCCGGGGCAGGCTTCGGGGGCTAAATTAAGCCCAGCCCAGACCCAGAGGATGATCAGGTTTGCAGTGCGCAAACCTGCACAGAATGCCCAATCTATCGTCACGTCTGGACTCCAGACACTGGGAATTGGTAGCGAGGAATCGAACCTGGTAAGTTCAGCCTGTTTGTCTACTTTGTGACTCTAGTGCCGATTTGTTGTAGGGAACCTTCGGACTCGACTTGATCCCGAAGTTGATGACTGTGCCGGGCCGCGTGCTGAACTGTCCCAATGTCAAATACAGAGGTAACCGAACCATAACGCCCAGACTTGGTAGTTGGAATATGCAGTCCATACAGTTCTCAGCTCGAGCAAAACTGCCATACTGGACGTTCCTTTGGTTATCGTACCCCAACGGCCGCGACCCATGGAGGGATGACGCCGCCTTGAAGCCTACGATCGATGCTTTTACCAACACGCTTCGTGAAACTGGCATTAATGCCGCCAACTGCGTCCGTGGTCAACATATTGTGGTCAATGACGTGGAGCGGGACATTGACAAGGCTATTCATACGTTTGCGAGCAATCCCAAGCCTCCCATGTTCATTCTCGTAATTTTGCCAGCGGCCGATACTGCCATCTACAACCGAGTCAAGTATGTCTGTGACGTTAAGGAGGGCTTACTAAACGTGTGTGTTATTGCGAACAAGTTCGCAAAACCCAACAATGCCCAATATTTTGCGAACGTCGCACTCAAGTTCAACCTCAAGCTTGGCGGCCGGAATCAACTCTTGGAGAACGCCAAGCTTGGACTCTTGTCTGACAGCAAGACCATGGTTGTTGGCATTGATGTGACACATCCGTCCCCTGGCTCATCGTCCGAAGCTCCTAGTGTGGCGGGCATCGTTGCTTCAGTCGATGAGAATCTCGCACAGTGGCCTGCGGACTTGAGGATTCAGACTGCACGCCGGGAAATGGTGGTGGACCTGGATACTATAATGAAATCACGTCTGGACCTGTGGATGAAGCGGAATGGTTCGTACCCAGCCAATATCCTTGTCTATCGAGACGGTGTCTCGGAAGGACAATACAACCTGGTGCTTGAGAACGAGCTCCCCGCGCTTCGCAAGGCCTGCAAGGAGTTCTACCCAGCATCGTCTAGAAAGAAGGGCTACCCGCGGATAACGATCGTCGTCGTCGGCAAACGCCACCATAACCGCTTCTACCCCACAAAGGCGGAAGATTCCGACAGGTCGACTAACCCACAAAACGGAACCGTCGTTGACCGTAGTGTCACAGAAGCACGCCACTGGGACTTTTTCCTGCAAGCTCACGCTGCGATTCAAGGCACGGCCCGTCCCGCACATTATTATGTCGTCTACGATGAGATCTTCCGTGAGACGAAAGTCCAGCAACCATTCTTGAACGCTGCTGACTCCCTGGAAGACCTCACACATAATATGTGCTATCTGTTCGGACGGACGACCAAAGCGGTAAGCGTCTGCCCGCCAGCATACTACGCGGACCTTGTCTGCGAGAGGGCACGATGCTATCTGAGCAAATTGTTCGATCCGTCTCCCGTGACCAGTCCTGAGCCGAGTATTGCCAGAGGAGTGGGATTACAGGGTGTGGACTCGAGTCTAGTCAGTATCCATAAGAATATTCGCAACACAATGTTTTACATTTGAGCCTTGGCCGTCTGCTTTGTGGGACATCTAGCAAGGACGAAGCTGGATTTGATCATGGATTTCCAAATCTTGAGAATCATGATAAGAGAATAGTCAGAAGAAAAAGCCACCAATCTTCGTCTTCACCCATTACATTTGAATATCCTCAGTTGTCACCATGGGCCGTGCAGTATGCCTTGACTACTGTGATAAGTAGGTGGTGGAACGAAATAGGCTCGCGGGTAGGGGGTCAGTTTGGCATCAAATAAGCAACTCCGCGACTTTTTCGTTGGAGGGGGCAGTAAAATTAAAAGTTCTACCGATAGTTATTGTCGCATGGAAGGTGTACTGCCGACCTTCTGCAAGTTATTTTAATCTATAGCCATAAGCAACCTTTTTACTCACTTGCTTAGGAGGGTTAGCCCTCATTCAGAGCTCGAGAGTGTCTATGGAGGAAGACACTGCGGCAGATTACGCAGTACCATAGTAGAATATTGTCGGCAAGATTTTCAGTGTGCCAACTTGGCCAGCGACCACTTCAAGGCGTCGCCAAGGATTTAGGTCACCCGACCTTCTCAAAGCTCACATGCGCACCTGAACCCCGCATGTCAAAGATCTCCAACAAAACTATCAGCTTCGCTCCCTTTTCGAACTTCATTTCGCACATTACCAAACTTTTCAACTCCAGTTCCGAACCTTTCTCTTTTTAGCTTCCTGATTTCTCTGACCTCGAAAATGGGGAGTCGTGCTGAATCCGACATCGACGCGATGAGAACTACAAGGCCTTTAGAGGAAATGGGCATCGACCTAAATGATAATACTGAGAGCTTCCTTTCCCGTTGCATTGCTGCTCAGTCGTTTGCGGACTACCTCACCGATTCCGATACTGATACCGAAAACTCTACTCTACCTCCTAGTAGACGTTGGGTATGGTATTGCAAACTTCCTGGTTGCCCAAAATACTACTCAGCCTGGACTTGCAAAACAAATTTCCTCCTTCACCTCTACGAGACACCGATGCATCGCGAGGACGACAATACGAAGACGCGTGAAAGTCGGCGTACACTAGCAAGAAGCTGGAGGAAGGAAACTGCGTATGATCTCAGCGAGCCGAAAGAAACACCACCACAACATAATGACTCTCAAGTTGGGAACACATGAAATTGGCGCTTAGAATTATACCTTCTCAGGAGGCGGCAGACGAACTGTTATGTGTTATGTTACAAATTCGCGCGGAGAGAATTCAAGTTGCTTCCTGTTATCTTCACTGTATCATGTGAATACTTGGAGGCATTCTTTGGCCGACTTTCCTGGGTCTGGCTGGTCTGTATTCAGTTCACTTCAATGTAGCGAGCTACCATCCCTGCAGGTTGTCGTATTTTTGTCTGCTATAATATAGAATGGAATACATTTTTGGGGATACGCCTCGTCTCTGATTTTCCTTCTTGTTTCGCAGCACTACCAACCTTCACGACTGTATCATTTGTATCATCGAGGTTACCATGAATTGTAAGATGTAAGAATATGTTCTGGTCCTATACCTATAGACACTCCAAATAGAAAATCAACGAGGCGGAGAAAAGTCTGTACTGCTTGTCAGACAGGGTTCCAGGCAAATTTGAAGACAATCGTCTTGACACTGATTTTTGGGGATCATAGGTAACTTTTAGCTTATCTTATGCAGATCACCCATGCCCTCACTGCCTGCGAGAATCCATGGTTCTAACCCCCCTTCGCAAGAGTTTCGATTATGTCTCGTGCTTCTTCGCCGTTGTCGGACCTCTCGCGGTCCCCCTCCCCGCACTCTGACTGGGAAGATGCCGACCGAGTGAATTGAGTCTGTCCATTCGATATACGTGGGAGTCGCCACGCGGGAGGCTAGACATGCTGGGGTTCAGAGGAGCGTATGAAGATTTTCTTATTGTACGACTCTTTTTCTCCTTGCACTTGTTCTATATCTCGCTCATAATATGCTCCTTAAGTGGTTCATTTGACTCTCTATGCACGGCCCTACCAATTTCCTTCCAGATGGACTATCCATATTCTAGTCTGTCTGCCCTTTGCCCTCCACCATCTAGTCCCTTCGCGCCGCACTCTTCTAGACTAGCTTACCGCCACGAAGATCTCACCTGGTTGACTCGCGCCTTGACATCATTGGTCGTTCCTCCAGTAGAGAAGAGACGACCATACACAGCATCCTTTGAAGGGAAGATCTGGCTCGTGATCGTGGTTTCGCCCTCGCCACCAAAGACCTCAACGCTTGACCAGTTGTACTTGCACGCGAATCGACTTTTAATGCTTTCATGGCGCTGAATAAAGGTGGTGGCCCAGCTTTTCCCAAGCGGCTTTGGGGGGGTTGTTGATTCTGCTTGTAGGAGAAGATATGCCATTTGCTGCACATGCGAGACCCTAGGAGCGACTCCT